TTTTACCAAAAGCTCCAAGAGGTTAACACCTTGCCCAAGGATTATGGAGGAACATGAAAGCAGAAATCCAACCCAGATCTCTGCTGACTCCAAAGTCAGTACTTTTTTCCACTATACTCCATTGCCTTTCACTACAACATGCTACCTTGTGGTTTCCATTCACTAGTAGTAGGTCTAAAAACATCACTCCCTCCCTTGTGCAAAAAGATTCACTAACTCCCTATTGCAAGCAGGATAAAACAAAACTCATTTAGCCTGTTACTTAAGACCTCCCCATCTGGCATCAGTCTACCTTTCCAGACTATTCACACTTCTTACCTTCATTCAGCAAATATTCCAGCCTAAACAGATTTGATAGCTATTTCCTGAACCTAGCATACTATCACTTACATTTGTGCATTCTTGAAGGCCATCCTCTGCCATGAAGGTCTTCCTTTCATCATCCATACCTTTCAAAATCTCTTTACCTTCAAGGCTCAGCTTAGATGCCACCTCTTCCAACAAGCTGTCCCCAATCTCACTGGCTAAATGTTATCACCCATTTCAAATTTTCTTGCACCCTACTTTGTAACACACTTATCCAGGCACCTGTTTACAACCTTCTTCCTCTACCCAAATTAGAATAGAAACCCCTCAAAAGCTGTGTTATTTTTAAATCTTTGAATTCCTGGTGGTTAGCATAGTGCCTTGTATCTAGCCAGCACTTAATGTTTGCTGAACTGATCTCATAAATGAATGGAAAAAGTCTATAGGGGAAAAACTTGTTCCTTTATGCAATAGTTTTAAAGCATGTTACTGTGGTTATTACTTTTTCTGGGAATACAGTATGTACTCTACAAACTGAATGTAGAACGTGGAGCTACTGTATGATTTTAACACAAGGCCAAAAATCATTATGCTATATATAAAACTTACTTTAAATAAGCTGTCACATCTTTTACTTCTTGATCACATAATCATTCCATCCTGCCATGCCTCATGACATCTTTCAGTATTTTAAAATTTGTAGCATGATGATGCAAATGAAATTGACTTACTTGTGTTAGATTTTAAGAGTGGGATTTTAGAGATACTATGGTACAACCCCCTCATATTCAGATGAAAAACAGAACACTGGACTCATAATCAGAGCACCTGGTTTCAATCCTGACTTTTAATTAAAGTTTTAGGTTTGTATTCCCAGTTACTTTTTAGATAATTTGAACTAGATATCCAATAGACATCACAAACTCAGTATATCTAAAACAGAATTTACTTTCCCCACAAACTCCCTCCTCTTTCAAACTTTCCTATTACTATCTTCACAGTCACAACAACCTCAAAGTCTTCCTCCACTCCTTTGTCTCACTTTCATTCCTATCTTTTACCAACTCTTGTCCCCTCTCTCCACTCACACAGCCACCACCCTGGTGCAAATCCCTTATTGCCTGGACTACTGCAATATCCTTCTGACTGGTCTCTCTGACTCAAGTTTCTCTCCACTTTAATACATCCTTTCACTCAGCTGCCAAAATGACTTTTCTAAAAGCATAGATCTGACTATGTTACCCATATTATTTAATAAATTTCAGTGGCTCCCTATTGCCAAGATCAAATATTAAATCCTCAGCCTGGCATTTAAATAAAGCCTTTCACAACCTAGCCCCTTCATTTCTCTTTCCTTGTACATGCCGCTGCATTTTCAAATTCCATGCCTTTTCACTAATTCTCCCCGTGCCTGGAGCGCTCTCCTTCCTCACCTCGGCCTGCTGGATTCTTTTAAGACTTAGCTCCTATCTCACCTTCTGCAGGAATCCTTTCCCAGTCTTCCTCTTCATCACTCCAGTCTCTTCCCTCTAGGATTACCTTTCATTTGTACTGTATATATATTCTATGTACACTTAATTGCTTGTTGTCTCTTCTATTAGAATGTGAGCCTTTCCTTGTAACCCCAGTGCTTATTAGCACAGTGATTGGCACTTATCAAGTGCTTAATAAAAGTTTGTTGTTTGACTTGCTGACTCAGTCACTTAATACCTTTGTGACTTATGGCAAATCTTTACAATCTTTCTGGTCTCAATTTTCCCTTCTGTAAAATATGAGAATACATGGCCTTTAAGGTCCTTTTCACCTTAGAAAGTTAGGTCCAAATGTCTCAAATACCAAGGCTCAAGAGAAGAATGGAATATATAAGTGGAACCTGAAGAGTACCACCAACCTTAGAAAGATAAATCCTTGCCCAATTAAAAACCTTTTTGAACTGTACCTTTCTGCACCAAAAGCTAACAAAGCTCTTCCATGATGGAAGAAGTTATCTGTGAGTAGCTTACCTTGTAATTTCTGAAGAAAATACGGGCTAAATAACTTTGCCACATAATTGACTGGGTGGCATCCAATAAGGGTGCATGAATGGAGAAGATTCAACAGGTCATGAGGAGGAAAATATTTAAATCGAGTTCTTATTGTATCTTCAAGCTTCCTAAAAAAAAGTGAAGCGTTTGGGGGCAGGTAGTTGAGTTTCCCAAATGGTACAATCAACTGAGAAACCTGGACAGGGGAGAATATTTCAGCTTGGTAAATAAAACTTTCTGCCACTGCATCAAAGATAGGTTTTGAAAGAATCATTTTTTTACTGCAGTACTGCATGACTTTGCTGACAGACTCAGGATGCATAGTGAGACAACATGTGGAAACATGTTGCTCCAGGGCTTGCATGAAAAATTTGTCAGTGTAACCAAAGTGCATAAAACCCTCTAAGACCTTTCCCAGCTCTTCACTGGTAAAATGAGAGACAAATCTTATTGAATGTATACAAAGCTTTATAACCAAAGGAAAAGCTCGAGTTTGGTTGAGAGCCACCAAGGCATTCAGTATTTGGCTTGTGATTTTAGGACTAAATTTATAAACTAATGAAATAGAGAGGTTGTTTAGCTGATCCAAAAAGTCCTGATGCTGAACCACTTCTCCAACAGCAGCTTGAAGCAAGGTATAAACTGCTACTATCTCCTCAGGTGCACATTCTTGCAATTTTTTACCTTGAAGCTGAAGTATAATCTCCTTTAGAATTGCACAGTTTGGGTTCTGGAGTTTAATCATACATTTGCCAAGAATACAAAGGTTATGAATTGTCATATGACCCTGTTGAAGCCGATTTTGGCACTCTGTCACCAGACTTACTAGTAGATTACTCTGGGGATCCACATGTAATCCTGTCAAAGCTTGCAAAGTAGTCACCAGACCAGTGTCTGAAAGATTTGTGGACTCATATTCAAACTGAAAGCACAATGCTCTGAAGATCTCATTCTCCAAGACTGTCCTTGGAATATTTTGGCCACCTTCCTCCTGTTCCACTTCAGAGACCCGACACAAAGCCGCTGCTGCCATAGTATCTGACAATGTTTCCAGTGTGCTTACAAATTTTAACACCTGTTCAGATGAAGTGAAAGTATTTAGATCCTTATAAAACCTCTGTTCATCCACATGACCATTGTTCTGTTCAAACCTGTTCCATGCTGCTGTTTGGAAAAGCACAGATCCACCAACTGGGTAAAGTTTTCTCCCTTTTTCTGAATGATGCTTCTTACAGTATGCATGATGAGAGTAGACTCCGAATTGCTCTTGTTGCAGGGAAAAATACCCCTGACACATGATTTTCCTGCCTTTCCTGTTATCCGGGCTCAAATATTTTCTGAGACATGTCAAAATTCTGCAAGTGGGAAGGCCAGATGAATAAAAATGAGACCCAAGTAAAGTCATCAAGGCCATATGTGATGATGGAATAGGATCAGCCGCCCATTTTGAGCACAGCCTAGAATAAAAACGAGAAAATAAAGCCAACATGGCAAAACTTTACTTTCATTTTCTCAGAAACATCCACATAACCACAAAATAAATCATTCAATATTTATGAAACTGAGGATTCTGCAAGAGAGGAAATAGTGATAATACAATTGAACATACAGCCTAAATGAAATAATAGCTGACACTGAATAGCACTTTAAGATTTGCAAAGCACCTTGCAAGCATTATCTCATTTAACCCTCTTGACAACTCTGTGAGGCATGTAATATAGGGACCATAATACAAATGAGGAAACTGAAGCTAACATGCTTGCCCATGGTCACATAATAAATAGTGTGAGTAGGCACTGTTGTTTCATTTTTTGTATTCCCAGTACCCAGACCAGAACCAGCCTAGTAAGCTTAATAAATGTTTTTTGATCAAAAAGGCGGTATTTGCACGTGGGTTTTCCTGATTCCAGACTCATCTCTCTATACACTACACAGCTGCCTTTAAAGAGTCAATGAATTAATTCCACCCCAGCTTCTCATAAGTTTCAAAGTGACCCAATCTCGGATAAATCAATGCAAAACATAAAGCATGAGGAATGTAAATGCAGATCAAATGTTCTTCCACTGGGGGAAGGGCTGATTTCCTCTAGACTCCAGAGGAAAGCTGAGGGAAGGAGGAGGAAAGGGAAATTAAAGCGGGGGCAGAAAGAGGCAGCGAAGAGAAAGGCCCACACAGTCACGCAGAACAATCCACCGTCACAATGATTCCATTCCCCATCTCATCTGCTAAGGTTTGAAAAGTTAGAAAGTCCGGACACTTGACACCAACTACACACTTAACGAGGAATGAGGTACCCGCCCGCGCGTGCGCACAGCCTCACTGACGCACGCGCACTCTGTCCCTGGGACCGCCCTTCAGCCTGGCCCCTCCCTTAAGTCCCGACGTGCCTTGCTTCACTCACTAGCAGTCAAGGTTTGGAATGGGACATAGGGAAAAATGATATACTGCGGAAAACTACATTTCCCACAAGGCTAAGAGAATGCCTACAAGTCCCACGGTCCCTCCGTCTTACCTCAGCCCTAACTGCGGTCGCTCAGGGTGACGGATTGAGTTAAAAGTTCACCGGCGTACAAGAGGACTGGGCATGCGCACTCCGTAGTTACTCCGAGCGGGACGCCCTTTCCAGCCCCAGCGCTCCAGGTGCTGCGTGAAGCCGGAGCTAGGTGAGGCCGGCGCCCCGGGACGCCCAGTGGATGTTTTCTGGTGAAGCAGGGTGGGAGAGAAAGAGGGTCAGACCGGTAGCCGAAGGCTCAAGAGCGAGTTAGACCCACTCCATAAAGCGGTCCAACCCGTGACCTCCGGTGGTTCAGCAAACACGTGCAGTGCTCCGATTGCTGGCTGGGTGCTCAGCCGGATCAGACCCAGTGTGAGGACGGAGCTTCGGCTGCCGCGGACGCGAAGGGCCTGAATAGGGCTGCGGTATGTCGGGAGGCTGGGCTCGCGAGCTCCGGCGCCTCAGCAAGTGCTGAGGAAGCCTGGGCTCAGTGCCAGCGGGGAAAGTGGTCATCGCCGCCCCGGGGAGCCCTTTTCGAATTGGGCATCCCAGAGGCATTGTGGGACAAAGCGGCGTTCTCGTGGCCTTGTGGGAAACGTAGTTTTCCGAGTTGTCTCTTGTTTCCCCCCCCATCCCCCATCCCCCATCCCCGCTGTGCTTTCCACGCTATTTTGAGTGTGGCCCCTGCTGTGCCTCTGAACTTTGACTTTCCTGCCTTTATTTTTTTATCTCAATTTACGTAACCCTCCACATTTCTTAGTTTCGTTCTTTCGCTTTACTTGATTTTTTCTCTTGTTCTTTTCTCTTCCCTGGCACACTTCTCCACCTACTGTATTCCAGCCCAGGAAATGGGGGGGGTAGGGAGGGAGAATGACAGCTCCCAACATTTAATGCTGGAAAGTGCCTTAGAAATCATTGAGACCTTTTTGTAGATGAAGAATTGTTGTTGACCGAGGTCACACTGATAGCAGTAAATTAGGATTTGAATCCAAGCCCATAAGTAAAAGCCTTCTTTAGATAGATAGATAGATAAATAGGTATAGATATAAAGATAGGGATAGGGGAGGTAGATAGTGAAGTGGATAGATCACCAGGCCTGGAATCAGGAAGCCTTAAGTTTCCTCACCTGTAAAAGGAGCTGGAGAAGGGAATGGTGAACCATTCTAGTATCTTTGCCTAGAAAACCCCAAATCAGGTCAAGAAGAGTTGAACATGACTGAACAACTAAGAGTTAGAGATATATCCCTGTAGGTATATAGATTACACACACACTGCATGAATACAGGCATACCTTAGTCTGGTTCAGTTCCAGACCACTGCAATAAAATAAAGTTATGCTTACACTATACTGTAGTCTATTAAATGTGCCATAGTTTTATGTCTAAAAAATGTACATGCCTTAATTAAAAAATATTTTATTGCTAAAAAAAAAAATGCTAACCATCATCTGAGCCTTCAGCGAATTGGAATCTTTTTGCTGGTATGACCCTAAGCAAGTCATTTAACCTTTGTGTGCCTTAGTTCCCTGGAGAAGGAAATGACAAACCACTCTAGTATCTTTGCCAAGAAAACCCCATGGACAGTATTGATGTGATGTGATCCACCAGGTCACGAAAAGTTGAACAACACTGAACAGTTGTGCTGTCAGTCACTTCTTCTGAATACTCTTTCTTTAGGTTTTCTGGTTATCCTAATACTTTTCTGTCCTTGTTCTCCAACCTATGTGACTACTCCCTCTTTGTTTCTTGGATGGATCTTCATTTGGGCCATGCTTACTGTGAGTGTCCCATGATGTTCTATCCTGGGCCCTCTTCTCTCTGCATACTATTTTGCTTGGTGATCTTCTTAGCTCGCATGTATTAAGTTATCATCTCTATTCACATGGTTCTCAGATCTATTGCCGCTTCCTCTCTTGACCTCCACATCTCTACTTGCCCATTAGATATCTCAAAACGTATATACCATAGACATCTTAAACTCAATACATCTAAAACTGAAATCATCTTCCACCCTGCCCCCCACTCCCCTTCACCCCAAACCCTTTCTTCTCCCTAACGTCTCTGTTGGGTACCACTATTGTCCCAGTTACCCAGGCTCACAAACTAGATGTCATTCTCAATTCCTCACTTTTTCTCATCCCCTAATATCCAATATGTTGCCAAGCCCATTGATTTTACCCTTGTAACATCTCTCACGTATCCTCCCTTTTCTCTTCTGGCAGTGACACTGCCTTGATAAAGGCCATATCACCTCACACCTGGTTGGTCTCCTTACCCCAAGTCTCTTTCCAGACCATCCTCCATTCAGCTGTCAAAGTGATCTTCCTAAATCACAAATCTAACCATGTCATCCATAAATGGCTTCTCCACCTTCAGGATCAAATATGAAATCATCAAGCATTCCACATCCTTCCTTATCTGCCATCTCCTCACTTTTCCTTTTCAGTCTTCTTACGGCTTACTCCCTGTCAACTACTTGATCAAGTGACAATGGCTTTCTTGCTTTTCCTTCCACAAGACACTTATCTCCTGACTCCTGAAATTTTTGCTAGCTGTCCCCCATCCTGATCTCCCTCCTCTTTCTGCCTCCTGCCTTTCCTGACTTCCTTCAAGACAGAGAAAGAAAGCCTTTCCTGATCCTGTCCTTAATTCCTTCCCTCTATTGATTATCTCCAACTTAGTCTTGTCTGTATTTTTTGTACATAGTTGCTTGCATGTTGTCTCCTCCATTAAACTGTGGGTTCTTTGAGAGCAGAGACTTGTCTTTTCTCTCTCCTTTTGCCCTTAACACTGTGCCTAGTCAATAGTAGGCACTTAATAAATGTTAATTGACTTTTCTATAAAAATAATGGTATTTGGATATTAGATCCCTGCAAAAACATTTTTAATCCATCTTTAGGGGGGCAGCTAGATGGCAGAATGGGTAGAGCACCAGCCCAGGAGTCAGGAGGACCTGAGTTCAAATATGCCCTCAGATACGTGATACTTACTAGCTGTGTGATCCTGGGCAAGTCACTTAACCTCAGTTGCCTCACAAAAAACAAAGAAACAAAGAAACAAACAAAACACTTTAGTTTTATGTTTATAGGTTGTTGTTCAGTCTTTTCAGTCTTGTCCAAGTCCCCCTGACCCCATTTGGAGTTTTCTTGGCAAGGATACTGGAATGGTTTGTCATTTCCTTCTCCAGCTCATTTTACAGATGAGGAAATTGAGGGGATTAGAATAGCAAGTTGAGAATTATGAGAGTTGAGTGAACCACACTGACTCCATCTTGTGACTTTCTGTTCAATTATGGTTCTAGTTCAATTTCTGTCTTGTGAGAAAACGTTATTCAATTGTGGGAATTGGTGGGCAGTGGAGAGGGAGATCCTTATTGCATTGTTTGAACCCAGCCCTGTTTGGCTGGGAAATTTGACCATTTCTACTTGCTGGTTAAAGACCCTTAACTAAAGACCTAGGTTATGCTGACCAGAAAGTCAGTCAGATCCAAAGATTGATTCAAGGAGTTTTCTCACAATTATGTATGTCAAGCAACACATATGTCTTATCTGAAAACTGGCCCCTTCTGATCCGTGTTCCTTTGATTGTTTATAGATACGTGGGGGGAGTGGGACATCTCTTCTTCTGATTTCAGGGAATTAATACCTGTTCACTCTCCCTCTCTCAACTTGGAAAGTCCCTAATCTTTCCCTCATTAGAAATCAGATTACCTAATGTTCAGTATCCTGGTTAATTGTTTTCTTTTAACTAATTGGTTTTATTTGATTGTTTTTCATGAATAAAAGTCTGTCTCCCCCTGTATGTGAGGTCCAGGCCTAAGCTCAGGAGGTTTGGTCCTGGTTTGTTTGGTAATTGCCTTGCATTGCCTAGTAAATCGATGTGCTTGAAAAATTGAACCTTTGTTTCCTAGTCATTCCTTCACCTACCACAGGGATTAGGAACTGAGGCGAACAGGGTTAAATGACCTGCCTGAGACCTGATAAGAGCTCCTGAAGATGAGTCTTCCTGATTCTAAGCTTAGTATTCATCTTGGGAAAAGAACTGGAGCCAAAAAACCAGGTCCTCTTTGTCCCTTCTGCGGTTTTTGGTTAACCTCTTGGCTACATTTTTTTTTTATGTATAAAATGAAGTATTGAATGGGATGATCACTAAAATGTCATCTAACCCTAAAATTCCATGGTTCCTAAAAATGAATGCAAATATAAACATTGAACTTAATTTATTTTGTATTATATAAGTGTTTTTGCACTTCTTGACAAATATAGTTTTTAAGTAGTTTGTCATCTTCTATTGGTTTATAGAAAAAAATGAATCTGCCTTGTTTTTCCTTTCTGCAGTACAGTTGACATGTTAACGTGTGCCATGAAACAATGAGGAGATTTTTGTTGCTTTATGCTACACAGCGTGGACAGGCAAAAGCCATAGCAGAGGAAATAAGTAAGCAAGCTGGTGCACATGGATTTTTTGCAGATCTTCACTGTTTGAGTGAATCTGACAAGGTGAGAGATCAGCAAATAATTTTGCTGCATTGAAGAATAGATGTACTAGTGTGGAAGAACCCACGTTTCCTGCTTCCCAGGATGTTTTGTTTACCAGTCTATTGCCTGTATCCTTACTTTTGAAGACCATGGAAAGCAACATTAAATTTATAATAACATTTTAGAAGGCCACATTCCCAAAATGTTTTAGAATATTGTTATAGGCATCCATATACTTTGTTTAAAAAAAAAAAAGAAAAAAATATATATATAAAATTGCTCTTTAAGCAAGTTGTTTTTCATCCAGATATAAATGGAAAGTCATTAACTTCCTAGTCCATGGTAGTAAAGAACAAACTCTTTAGGAAGTTGATATAGAGAAATCTAACTTTTATTACTTTTCAAAATGTTTTTTAATATTTTTTTTAATATCCAGATTTATATATTTCACAAACAATAAATGGACTTGGGAGGGGATTCTTTATAACAGTTTGAGATGACTGGAGACAATGGATTGTGCCTTTTGTAATGTATAACTTCTTAATACTTTTTAAAAGAGGAGAACTTAATAGATTCTGCATTTATAAAAAACAAATAAATGCTGGATTTTGAGTTTCTTTAAATTTTCCTGTTCATAGTATAGGTATTAACTATTAAGAATTTTATCACATTGTGTAACAGTTAACTTTAATCAAACACAGAAGTAATCACCTAAAACTTTTTAGATAGACATTTTTATAGGAAAATTTTGGCTATCAGAACTCTTAGATAATGAGTTTTTCTGAATACTCAAGTTTCCTTAATAACCAGAAGTTTTCATTTTTATCTTTTCTCTCCCTTTTAATGTAAAATTTTCAAAAATAACTTGGCAGTCTTCCTTGTCTTTTGTCTTATGTCATCAATGGCCCTGGATTGAAGTCCCACAAACCCACTGCATAGTAGTGATGCCAGTGCTTTCAAGGGCTCTTGCAATGTTGTAACTAGTAACTCTGTGGGCAGATTTTAGAGATTTGATATAGAGCATCACATTTACTCATCAGAACACTTGCAAACGTTAGGATTGTTTTGATGAAAATGATGAGGAAATTTAGACACTACTAAATGAAAAAAAGAGAACTCCTCAGGGTTTACCAGCTGGATAGTTTGTCTCTGAGAAGATAGCATTTAACTTGATCAAAAGTAAAGTGCAAAAAATTAATTTTGCTCTGATAGTAACAATCCAAAGTGTTTCTGTGATATCCTGAAGACTATTTATAGACCAGAGATCTATGATGCATCTCAACTATTTAGTGCTGGTGGAGCCACACTGATCAGTGATAAGGACATGATCTTGGAGAGGTGGGCTGAATACTTCTGTATTGTCCTCAACAGACCGTCATCAACCAATGCAGAAGCCATTGACTGTATACTTCAAGTTGAAGTTAGTGCCTCTCTAGCTGAAATTCCAACTGAAAAAGAGATTTAGAATGCCATTAGGCTCCTATTGCTGGCAAAGGGCCTGGTGTTGATTCCATCTCAACAGAGATATAAGGCAGAGGGGTCCGCTGCGCATACAAAAGCTGACAAATCTTTCGGGTTATGTGGCAAGAGGAGGTTATCCCCCAGAAGATTGAGGATGCCTCCGTTGCCCATCTCTATAAAGGAAAAGGAAATAGGTTGTCCTATGACAATTACAAGGGGGGTGTCTCTCTTAGTCATTACTGGCAAGATCGTTGCCAGAGTCCTTAATTGGCTGATCCTTCACCTGAAGAATGGTCATCTACCCAAGAGCCAATGCAGCTTCTGAAAGGTTTGAGGAATGGTCCATATGGTGTTTGCTGCCCAGCTCCAGGAGAAATGCCAGGAGAACAGAAGTTTGTCTATAATATTGGTCAATCTGACAAAGGCCTTTGATACTATCAGTTGTGAGGGTTTGTGGAAGATCATGGCAAAATTTGGTTGCTTTTAGAAGGTTATCAGTATAGTTCATCAGTTTCTTGACAGCATGCTTACAGGTGCTCTGGATAATGGACAATGCTCTTTCGCTTTCCCTAATCACCAGGGGAGTGAAGTAGAGCTGTGTGTTTGCTCTCATGCATTTTAGCTGCTTGATTTCATCGATGTTATCAGAAACCTTCAACAAGGACAAAAATGGCATCAGTCAGCTACTTTACTGATAGTAAATTATTTAACTTGAAAAGGCTATAAGCCAAGACCAAAGTGGAGGGAGAGTTGGTGCACAACTTTTTGTTTGCAGATGACTGCCCTCAGTGCAGTCTCTGAGGCTGAGAGGCAGTGAAGTATAGATTGATTCTTTGCCAATTAAGCTAATTTTGCCCTGACAATTAATACCAAGAAAACAGGTTCTCCACTAGCTAGCACTGCCACTGTTCATACATGGAACCATCGGTTACAGCAAATGGAGAAATTTTGAATGCTGTGGATAAGTTCACTTTCCTTGGCAGTATGCTTTCCAGGGTCGTACACATAGATGATGAGGTTGATGCATGCATTGCCAAAACTATCTTAGCATTTGGGAGTCTCTGAAAGAAAGTATGGGAGAGAAGAGGTAAACTGAAGGTCTGTAGATCTATTGTGCTGACCTCATTGCTGTATGTCTGTGAAACCTGGATATTCTACCAGCACCATTCCAGGAAACTGAATTACTTCCATTTAAATTGTCTTAAGAAGATTCTGAAGATTACTTGGCTAGATAAGGTACTGAATGAGGTCCTTTCTTAAGCTGAACTGCCAAGCATTCAGACTGCTGCATAGAGCACAATTCTAATGGGCTGGCCACATTGTCCAAATGCTGAATGTACATTTGCCTGAAAGACTGTTTTGCAGAGAGCTCCCACAAGGCAAGCTATTGTCAGAAGTGGAGGGCAGAAAGCAATACAAGGACGCTTTCAAGATCTCTGTGAAGGACTTTGATAAGAGTTGTATGACATAAGAGACAGTGGCATAGGACCATCCAGCATACCCACATCAAGGAAGGTACTGTGCTCTATGAGCAAAGCAAAATGCAGTATGTCTAAAGGCATAGAGACATGTCCTTCCAAAATGTTTATATGGACTATTTGTGCCCAACCTGTGGTGGAGCCTTCTGAGCTCATACTGGTTTGATCCACCACAGTCAGACACACTGTACATTGATCCCAACATAGTGATGTCATTTTGGTCTACTTTGAGTACAAAGGACAACAGATGCCTTCAATGGCCCTGGATTGAAGTCCCCCAAACCCACTACGTAGTAGAGAGAGAGGCCCCGTGCTTTCAAGGGTTATTGCAATGTTTTGACAGGTTGCCCTTTTTTTTCCCTTCCCTCATTCCCACCCCCTCCCCACCCCTGCATCTTGTCTTCTTATCTTGAGAGCTTTTTTATTGTCTGCCTTGCTAACTCACTTTGCTATCAAACTTTCTGTTGCCTGATCCTTCCATTCAGAAATGATCTTTCTTTCCTTGGATTTTCATGTTCTAGTTTGTATTATGTTGGTGTCATGTCTTCCTGACTATTCCAAGCTACATTGTAAGCTGCATGAGGGCAAGGACCATACCTTAAGTACTTTGGTGTCTCCCATTGGCTAGCACAGTGTTTTGCACATAGTAGTAAGTGCTTCCTAAATGTTTGTATAATTGAATCTCCTGCTGTTCTCATAGCTATAGTCATATAATCCCTATGGAAAAGTTTTATGTGCCACTGTTAAGTGAAAAAAATGTACATAAATGAGAAACATAAATAAATGTAATATTAATATTTTCTGAGCAAGTGAGAGAGGGGGATAATTTCATGTGATTAGGTGTGGGAAGGTTGTGATTATTGTGGACTGACCAGAAGTATGTTCTAAACTCTTCTAGCCTCCTTTGACTTTTTATACCTTTAGTAGATCTATTCTTAAATTAAATTCTACCTTATAAAAAAAGGTTGTGTTATCAGAGAAATACACTTGAAAATATTGAATGTTTCAGCCTTGTAACATAAATATAAATATAAAACAGTAGGTAAGAGAAAATCTTTTAACCTCATAATGACTTGTTACTGAATGCTCTTAAGAGATGGATTGAGCATCATCCCATGTGTTACCAATTTATAGAAACCGAGAAGGCATAACTAGTACCTTCATGTATATGAAACAAAAAGTGTGACAAAGCCAAGGAGAAAACTGCTAAAGCAAATTCTTTAGTCTGATAGTTATAAAAATGTAAATATACCAGATTTTACTAAAGGAATATTCTTGTGTTTTTAGTATGATTTAAAAACAGAAACAGATCCACTTGTTGTTGTTATTTCTACCACTGGCACTGGAGATCCACCAGATACAGCAATCAAGTTTATTAAGAAAATTAGAGACAAAACTCTGCCACCTGATTTCTTCTGTCATCTGCGGTATGGATTACTGGGTAATGGAAGATAGTTTCCTCTTGATTCATTGTAGTAACACTAATTTCAAGATGAGTGTAAAAGCAAAGGCTGCAATTTTGTATTTTGAAAAGGTTGAACACGAAAACTGAAGAAAATATATTTTTCTAGTCTAAAATAGTTTTTTTTTCCTTATTTACACTTGGAGCAACAATTGAAGGGTATATTGGTTTAAAATTCTTTCTAAGTAAAATATTCAGTATGAAATTTTAATGTGGAACTTGTGTTTTGATGTTATTGATTGCCAAACCATTACCACATAGATTTTTTTTCGTAAATAAAAATGTTCCTTAAAGGGAGATAGCAGTATTGTATAGTTCATTAATATTTTTATATTTAGTCACAGACGTAGAATCCAGAAACCAATGATTTGCACATTTGCAAACCTTAGTTAAGGTTTAAATTAAATTATTCTTACCTTCTTGACAATTGGGGGGTTGGGAACACATGAGTATGATCCTTGTGGGAAAAGAGAAGAAAAGCTCCCTTTTCTGAAATAATTCCTTTATTTGTGGAATTGAGCTTTGTTCAGTCAGATGCTCTCCTCTGCAATGTGCAGACTAATGGCCGAGAGAAACCTTTCAGTAAGGGGACCTAACTCAGTCTCAGGAGGCATATTTTTCAGTCAATTACACAGGCCTAGTTAAGTAGACAGGAGTGTCTAAGAAAAGAAAGCGAGTGAGCTATGTCTTCCTAAATGCTCATAACCAGCTCACTGGAGCCTGAATATACATCAATTATGCATACTTTCAGGTGAGTCAATAAAGTGATAATGCAGAGGAATTATGGGGCAGAAGTAGTTGGTTTAGCTCATAAACCCCAAGAAAGGTAACATAGTTATAAAGCTTGATTTGGTCGGTGCTTAACACATTCTCAAGCATGACTTAGTGCTTTTCAAAGATGACAGGAGCTCTTTTTGAAGTTCCTATTGAAGATTTCAAATTTTTAATTTAGAACTTAGCTAGAACTTTGTCTTGTGGAGCAAATATGGAGAAGAGTAATTAGATTTAGGCAAATTATAATGAACAAAATAAAATTTGTCTTTCTCTCAAGTTCCTAACTATAATAGCCACAGTAAATTTTAAACTGACCACGATTTCATGGAAAATAACTAAAAGAATCACTTTCAGAGCTAAAGCCAACTTAACAAGCAAATGACATTACTTATGAAGTCAATGTAGAAAGCCAAATAAATTAATGCATACTGAAACAAGAGACAAAGAACTACCATGCTGTAAATTTTAATAGGATTTTGCCTTTCCCACTCAGAACTTACCCTACCACAAATGTACTCCCAGAGCTATGCCAAAAGAAAATATAAGAAGAGACAAGAGTCCCTGGGGTGGTATTCTAACTGTTTGCCAGACTGTGAGAAGATAAGGTCATAAGTTCCCCTTGGTCCAAATGGTTTTCCAAAAGGGTGTTGCCCATGTGAACATGTGAACTTAATAAGATCTCTCATTTTGTTAAGCTGTATTAACACCTTATTAAATTGGATAAAAGCTCTTTTCAAGTCTTTCTCAATTTCCTTTGCTGGATCATCATGTGTCTCCTGCCCACTAATTGTCCCAAAGACTTTGTCCTTGGGCATCACATCTCTAATTTTTTGATGATCTCATTAGGTTCAAGTTATCTTCTCTGTACAGATGACTTCCAATCTATGTTACCCAATCTTAATCTCTTTTCTGAACTCTGTTCCCACATTACCCAAATGCCTAGTAGTCAGGGATTCTTGAGCTAGTGTCCATGAATTTATTTTATTAACATTTTGATAACTATTTCAATATGATTGGTTTTGTTCATAATCCTCTTTTATGCATTTAAAAACATTAATCTGAGAAGGGGTCCACAGGCTTCACAGGACTACCAAAGGGGTCTTTGACACAAAAAAAGTTAAGAATCCCTGAATGTATGTTCCCTAAGTATCTCAAAATCAACATATCCAAATTTCCTCATTTCTCTTAGGAGCACTCCCATCCTTCTAGTCACCCAGTTTTGCAGCCCTGCATTAATGCTTGGCTTTTCCCTTACTCTCACCACTCATGTCCAGTAAGTTGCAAAGTCTCTGCAAAAAGTTGTAGATTGTATCTCCACAGCTTCTCTCACATTGGGCTCTTTTTCTCCATTCACAAGGGCTGTACCCTGCGTCTTGGATGGACTATTAACTAGCTTCCCTACTTCCAGTAATGCCTTTCTGACTCATTGATCATACATCTGTCAGATTCATATTTCTAAAGCATAGCTCTGATCATTCCACTCTCCTACTCAAAAATCTTCAGTGGCTCGTCACCCTGGTATTTAAAACCCTTCCGGAGTTTTTCCAGTCTTATTTAACTCTCTTTCACATAATTCTCCATTTCAGTCAAACTGGCATACTAGCTGTTTTCCACAAATGCCATTCTGTCTCCTACTTCCTTGTCTTTGCGTAAGTTTGGAATGCACTTGTATACACTTCCTCCTCACTTCTGCCTAATAGATATTTGGAAACTTAAATTTAATTCATACACATTTGTCAGGATCCCCATGCCAAGACCATCCCTCTCTTTTTACTCCTCTATTAGGAGGCACCGTTTTCCAGAGCTAAGGCCCAGCAAGCAGGCTGTTCCCTGAGCTTGGCATAACAGCAATACTTTGCACTCACCCTCTGGATGAGCTCAGCCACAGCAAAATCCCAGGACTGTTTTGCACCAGCACCAGGTGTTCTCTTAGTTCGAACAAGCATCTGTAGTACCCATGCAGGCCTGCAGCTCATCACATAGCCGTTGGTGTGTACATTGAGATTTGCTCTCACTAAAGTGGGTCCCTGGTACATGTGTCTAGTTTCCCACCTCTAATGGAATAAAGAAAGCTTTTTGCTTATGATCACTATTTGCTCTTTGGTTTTATTTTGTTATTTCAGAATTAACTGTGGTTGTGATAACCTGTGTGAGGTCTTTGGTATTTAAAAAAAAAAACTGGTACACTTTGTGACTTTCGTTTCTAAATACATCCCTTTCCCTTCTCAGCAAGGCATCACTTTTTTTTTGTTCATGCAAAAGTTTTTTAGTTTAATGTCATTGAAATTGTCTGTTTTACCTTTTGTGATTACCATTATCTGTTATTTGATTAAAAACTCTCCTTGGCCTTATCTGTGAAAGGAATCTGAACTCTGTCTTCTAATTGCTTTATGGTGTCACCTTTGAGATTTGGATCACATGACTATGTTGATGTTATTGTCTAATAGAGAGTTTTCCCCTGTGTAATTTATATTCTTGAGCTTATTGAATACTTGTTGAATTCATTTGTTTCTTTCCCCTGTGTAATTTATATTCTTGTGCTTATTGAATACTTGTTGAATTCATTTGTTTCTGAATTCTCCCTTGTAGTCTATTCCTTTGGTCAACTTATTTGTTTTTAACCAGTATCAAATAGTTTGGATGGTTATCACATCTTTCCAGTATAATTTAAAGTCTGTGAGTACTATTTTCCCCTTCGTGCTTTTTAAATTATTTCCCTAGAGATTCTAGACCTTTTGTTCCTCCAAATGAATTTTGTTATTTTGTCTAGCTGTGTAAAGGACTTAATTGGTAGTTTGATTGGCACAGCACAGGGGTGGGGAACCAGCGGCCTAGAGGCCACATGTAGCCCTCTAAGTCTTCAAGTGAAGCCTTTTGACTGAACCCAAACTCATAGAACCAACCCCCTTAATAAAAGGATTTGTTCTGTAAAACTTGGCCTCAGTCAAAAGGCCCCACCCAAGGACCTAGAAGGCCACATGTGGCCTGGAGGCTGCAGGTTTCCCACCCCGGCATAGTATATAGTAAATTAACCTAGGTAGTATTGCCATTTTTATAATGTTGGTGAGACTCTACCATGAGCACTTAGCCTTCTTCCAATTACAGAAGACATTTTAAAAATATGTTTTATAATTTTATTTACCAAAGTCCTGAGTGTACATTAATGCCTAGTTAATATTATGCATTTTTTAGTTCTTTCAGATGGAACTTCCTTTTATTTCCTTCACTATTTTGTTGCTGCTGTGAAGAAATGCTGATGACTTTAGTGGATTTATTTTGTGTCTCACTGCATTACTGAAGTTATGTAGTAGCCTAAACCATCCCTCGCAAACTTTTTTGCCTGCATTTGACTTTAATTTCTTTTTCTTGCTTGTTCCTTGCATTTCTGGAACTGTATCAAATGACAATGGGAAAAGAGGTCACCTTTGTCATTATTGAGAAAGTTTTTAGTGTTTACTTACTGCAAATGCTAGGTTTTGGTTTTAGCTTTGTAGTTTTTATCATATTAAAAAATGGACTTTCTATGCTTGTGTTTCGTAGCTTTTTTTGTATAAATAAGTATATTTTGTCAAAGGCTTTTTCCTGCATCCATTGATATAATCATGGTTTCAGGTTTTCCTTTTACATTTATTATTTTAATAATGTTGATCCATTCTTATATCCATAGAATAAATCCACTTTAGTCTCTGAATAAATTTTTGGATGTTATGTTTTAAATATATTAATATTTTAAAGTTTTGCATCAATCTTATTAGTGAAATTGCTGCTTTGTTTTTCCCTTGTTTAGATTAAAGACTATGTTCAGCTCATAAAAGGAGTATGATAGAATATTTTCTTTTTCAGTTTTTGAGAATAATTTGTTAGCATATGTATGAATTTATATTTAAATGTTTGGTAGAAATTCACTAAAATTTAGAGGGTAGCTCTTTAAATCTTTCATATTGTATGCTAATTATTTATTCTGGTTCTTTAGGTCTGGGTGATTCAGAATATACCTACTTCTGTAATGGTGGAAAAATAATTGATAAACGACTTCAAGAACTTGGTGCTCAACATTTCTATAAAACCGGGCATGCAGATGATTGTGTAGGGTAAGGTGATTTTTATATATCCATATTTATTTTAATTATAAATGAGAGAAGAAAATATTTTTATTAAATAGTGTAATATCTGACCCATTTACCAAAGCCACCAAAAAGCCCATTTCTCCCCCTGCTGAAACCCTATTTGATCACTCGTTCATCATTTTCAGTAACTGATATTCTTATATATCAGACCATTTAAAATTAGAGTGATTTTTCTTCCCTTCCCTTTTCTCCCCCCACTCCCTACCCCTTGCTGACTCTGACTCCTTTAGCAATCAATCCTCTTTAATCAGTCAGTCAGTAAACATATATTAAGTACCAACTGTGTGCTTGGGGCATTGTAATGTGCCCTGGTAGTCTACTCTTTTGTAATTATCTGGATTGGATTTGTACTTCCCTATTTGGTTGTGATTTGAAAACCCTGTCTAAATTCAAATAATCTTTTTTGCATAAACCTGATTACCACCTGGACACTGGGTCTCTCAGATAAACGTCTTTATTCTTATATCTGCTTCCAAAACAGTTTTTTCATGCATAACTCTTGGCTCAAGTCATTCTCCTCAAAACCCCTCTCTGTCCTTACCCAGAAATCTAAATATAAACATTCCTTTCTATGTATTTCAGCAGCCTCAGACCCTTAGCTTTTAAGTCTAACCATTTTACTGCCTTTCTATCCTTTCCCTGAAAAATTAAAACATCTCAAAGAAATTGCCCCTGATGCTTCACCTAATTCCAAAGTCCCTAACACTGCTGTGCACATACATCAATAGGTCTTTTTTATTTATTTATGTATTTATATATTTGCTGAAGCAATGTTTTTTCAGTCTTATCTCCCCTAAGACTTCAGTGATAGAAGTGATGTATAATCAGATTTTATGCCATATACCTTATGAACATTGTGTCAGTGATAAGGCAGATGTCTTTGAAGTGCCTGTTTTCAAAGTAAAGAATTTACGTTGTCAATTAACATCATTCTTTAGCATTTACATTATTGCTTTTTTTTAAGATATTACTGAATTTTTTGAGGTGATGTTTCTGAAGTACTGACATTGACACTGTTTTGTGGGTATGCCTAGATATTCCTATTGCAATGAGTTACCCATAAGTAACTTAATTTTTTCTCTTAAAGTAATAGTTGACTTAGAGAGGCGTTATTGTGAAATGGATAAAGTTCTTGACTTAGGAAGATCTGAGTTTATATCACATCTCTGACACTTACTGATTTTCTGATTATGGACAAATCACTTGACCTTAGCCTTTCTTTTCTTTTTTTTTTCCATTTAACCCACTTGATTAGATTTATTTTTATCATTACATCAAAGTCAACTTACATCCACCCCCATACCCCTTTAACTGAAATAACAATTCAGTTCTCAAGGGTTATAAGTGTCATCTTTCCTTGTAGGGATATAAACAGTTTGCCCTTATTAATAACATGTTGTTTCTCTCTGTCCCTTTTTATATCTCTCTTGCGTCTTGTATTTGAAGATCAAATTTTCTGTTGAGCTCTGGTTGGCCTTAACCTTTTTGAACATTAGCTAACTTTCTAAGTTAGATGGGTTATAAGCTGTGTACGTGAAGGGAGTTCCTGCACTGACCAAGTCCCAGGCCTTTTATTTATTGATGGGAATAGTTAACTAAGCATCCTTTGAAGGATTCTTGTACTTTGCAAAACATTTCTTCTTTAGGTTCCCAATATGTTTCTACAATCTGAGAAAAGAGATGTGACTTTTATAAGAGTTCATTTAAATAAATTTTTATTGGTGTTATTTATCATGGGAGTTTGTCAAGTTTTATGTTTCTTTTTGTGTGTGTGTTTCTTTTTTTTTTTGTTTTTATTTTTAGGCAGCTGGGGTTAAGTGACTTGCCCAAAGTCACACAGCTAGTAAGTGTCAAGTGTTTGGTCTGAAGCTAGATTGAACTCAGGTCCTCCTGACTTCAGGACCAGTGCTGTATCCACTGTGCCACCTAGCGCCCCAAGTTTTATAAACTCTGCCCAGTTCATATATACTAGAATGTGAAACTATCCTCATTTTTGATGTGTCTCTTTTTCTGTAATGATTTTTTCAGTTTAGAACTTGTTGTTGAACCGTGGATTGATGGACTTTGGACTGCCCTCAACAAACAATTTGTGTCAAGTAAAAGAAAAGCAGATATGACCAGTGATTTCAGTACCCCGTCTAATATCTCCTTACAGACTGATTTAGTTAAACCAGAAGTATTACCCATTGACTTGCAAATTGCACTTCTCAAATTGGATGATTCGGGGGAAAAAAATTCTGAGGCTTCAACACAAAACATCACCAATGTTCTTTCAGGAACTTTAATCGAAGATTTTGAACCCTCACTTACCCAGTCAATACCACCCCTTTCACGGTCTGCTCTTAATATTCCAGCATTACCCCCGGAATATTTAGATGTCCAGTTTCAGGAGCCTCCTGGCCAGGTAAGAAATGTAGTTCTGATATGTTACAGATTTAACTTCAAATGGCATGTGAAGGAAGATGCTATCTGCATTCAGAGAAATAACTGATAAAGAAAATTATGTATAGAATGGTTTTACATATCTCTACATAGTTGTATCTATTGGTATTTCTAAGATGGGGCAGGGTAGGGGTAAGAAAAAAAGGAAAGAAAAAAGAAAGTTACATGATAACTTTGTCATATATACACACTCACACCTATTTGTGTCTAATGGTCACCATCTCTAGGGCAGGGTGAGGGAGAGGAAAAAGAAAGAAATTTACACAATAACTTTATTACATATTTAAAAGGAATAGCAAATTGCACATAATTGATTTGCAGTTTCATGTGCAATCATCTTTTTTATTATACTATGTTATGGAAATGCTAGTTTTATTCCATAAATTAAAAATAAAATAAATTTTAAAAAAAGAAATTTTAGGTGACAAGCTAAAAACACCAGAAGCTAGTATATAGTTCTTAATAAACTGAAATAAAAAGTAAAATGTTTTCTGCAACTATTCTCTTGGTTCTGCTCACTTCACTCTTCACCATTTCATGCAAGTCTTTCCATGTCTTTCTAAGATCATTGATCTCATCATTTCTTATAGCATAGTAGTATTCTATCACAACCATATACCACAACTTGTTCAGCCATTCCCCAGTTGATAGTTATCTCTACAATTTCCAGTTCTTTGCCACCACGAAGAAAGCTGCTTTAAACATCCCATTCACGTTCAAAGTTTTCACTATTTGTGAATTTCCCTTCATCTTAGTTTTTACTTACAATTTTCCTTTTCAGATTCTCTTTTTATCCTATCCCTGTTACTTTATCTTCTCCTATTACCCTTTTATTCCTTATTTGCCCTCCCCTCTAAAACTCCCTCCCTTATATACTCACTCTACTCTCCTAATTTTAATCTGTACACTCTTCTAAAAGTCCCTCCACCACCCTATCCCCTGGTTTTCTCACCTCTCTACTGTTCAGAAGACTTCTCCACCTTTCAGATATACTCATTGTGTCCTCTTCTACCTAGATGAGAGTAACGTTCTACCCCCACCTGCTTCCTCTGTATTCTTCCTTTCATGCCCCATTTTTATAATGTAATTGCTGTTTTACCTTTTCTTTCCAAATTCTGTTTTTTAGAATCTATCACACACAACTCAGCCCCAGCCTTTTTTTTCCAACTACCTTAGTAATGATGACAGTTTTAAGAATACTGATAACATTTTCATATATATAATAACAGTTTGACCTTAATGAGTGCCTTATAATTAGTCTTTAATATTTTCCTTATATTTCTTCTGAATCTTTTATATCAAATTTTCTATTGAATTCTGGTTTTTTTGTTACAAATACCTGAAAGAATTTCAGTTCGTCAAGTGTCCATTGTTTTCATTCAGGATCATATTTAACTTTGCTGGGCAAGTTATTGTGGGACGGAACCTCAACTTCTTTGCTCTTTGAAAAGTAATATTCCAAGACCTCTGGTCTTTTAGAGTAGAAGCTGCTAGGTCCTGTGAAATCTTGACTATATTTCAGCAGTATTTAGATTTTTTTTTTCTTGTTGATTGAATTGTTTTTTACCTAGCCTGGGAGCTTTGAAACTTGGCTATGACATTCCTATAAGGTTTCCTCCTTGGATATCTTTCAGGTGGTGATTTTTTCTACTTCTGCTTTTCTCTCCTGTTCTAGAACCTCAGAGCAATTTTCCTTAATCATTTCTTGTATTTAGATTCTTATCTCTTACCTCTTATATCTTATAATCTATATATCTTATATCTTATATCCAGATTCTTTTCTTGATCATAACCTTCAAGTAGTTCAACAGTTTTTATATCATCTCTCCCTGTTCTACAGAGCGGTTATTTTTCTAATGAGATATTTCAGATTCTCTTCTATTTTTTGTAGTTTTATCATTTCTTATTGTCTTATAACATCATTTGATTCCTCTTCCCCAATCCTAGTTTTCAAGAAATTATTTTCTTCCTTAAGATTTTGTATCTCTTTTTCTAATTAGGTCTCTTCATAATTTTCTTGAATTGCTTTTATTTTTTTTTCTTATTTTTTCCTTGATCTCTCTTATTTGATTTTTGAATTCCTCTTTAAGTTCTTCTCAGAACTCTTTGGGCTTTTGATCATTTGATGTTGTTCTGTAGGGTAGGAGTGGCTTTTTTATCTCACTATTTTCCTTTGAATATGAACCCAGATCTTCTTTTACACCAAAGTAGCTATATGTGGTTGGGTTCTTTTTTGTTTTTTTTTTTGTTTGTTTGTTTTTGTTTTTTTTTTAGGCAGTTGGGGTTAAGTGACTTGCCCAGGGTCACACAGCTAGTAAGTGTCAAGTGTTTGGTCTGAGGGCGGATTTGAACTCAGGTTCTCCTGACTTCAGGGCTGGTGCTCTATCGATTGCGCCACCTAGCTGCCCCGTTGGGTGATTTTTTGAAAGAATGCCATGACAGCTTGGTTTCAGTTTTTCTAAAGCACAGAATGGTAGCTTCTAGGGTTATACTGTCATTCCCCTCAGGGAAATGAGCAAAGTGTTAAGATCATTTGGATGAAAGTCCATATGTAAATGAATAATATTCTCATATATATCATTGTTAGTCATGTTTCATCAGATACAAATTTTCTTTCCAGGAGCAATGCCAAGTATCTTTTATTCCAGTGGATACAGTTTTCCAGGTTCCCATTTCAAAGGCCATTCGGCTTACTAAGGAGGATGCCATAAAAACCACTCTGCTATTGGAATTGGACATTTCAGTGAGTTGATGCCTTTCATTTCCAGTAATTGGCATGTTAAAGGCAACCTGAGAAGTAAGGAAAATGATCAGTTGGTGCTTTTTTGCTTTTTTTGGTTATATTCTGAGAGAGAAGCCTGTATTGGGAAGAAACAAAGCAGTGTAAAGAACACGAGATGTGAGGTCAGAAGATGAGCATTTCCATTCCTCCTTTGTCACTTTCTAGCAGTAATACCTTGGACAAATCACACAGGCTTTTAAATCCTGCTTCCTCCATCTATAAAATGGAGATTGCTGAACTAGCTTTCCGTGTAGAAAACTAAGAAAAACTTTATTTCATCTAATTCTGTTTGCATAAATTTAGAAACATTTTATATAGATAAATGGGTGATCAAATATTTTTCTTACAAAGCATAATAAAAGTATCCTTTAGCTGAGCTTATTGCAACTTTAAAATTCTTTAAAAAATAACAGAATGAAAAAAAAGTTTGTTTCACTTCTAACTTTATAAAATAAAAAGGCTATGTGCTTAACTTTCCACCACAATCTACACTCTTTAACTTACTGGTTTTATATTTATCCAGAATACAGCATTTTCCTACCAGCCTGGAGATTCCTTCAATATCGTTTGTCCTAATGATGCTTCAGAGGTACAGGAATTACTTCAGAGACTACAGCTTTCAGAGAAAAGAGAACACTGTATTTTATTGAAAATTAAAGAAAACAATAAAAAGAAAGGTACAGGACTTCCTTGTTCATTAGGAATTTGGAATGGTGCTATTTACTGGTCACTGGAGAAAGAAGTCAGAGAATAAATGAAAATTTATATTTCTTGAGTTTTCTGTGAAAAACATGAAAAATGTGAGGATCATTTTGGGTCTCATCACATTTGAATAACCTTCACAGTTGAAAATTCAGGTAGCTTAAAAGTTACAGAATAGATATCTGGTATATACAGTCTTCACCCTTTTGTTGTTTTCTATTGGAAATGAAGGATCATTTTATTGAGATAGCTTTGTACTTTAAAATAGTGTGGCATACTATTGTGCTGAAAGATGACTGCCAAGTTGTTAGTTTTCATACAGATATAGATGAGTATATTTTGATTAGAAGGAGCCGATTATCTGATCTGATTCAGGCAATTGCTGCTTCTTTGCTGCCCGTTAAGTGATTTGTACTGTTTGTTAGCATTTCTATGTGAGTGTAGGGGCAGAGGAGAAAAGGGAATTAAAATATTGTAATTCTGGTTTTTGTTAGTAGTTTCAAAGGTTATTGGTGAAAGCGTATAGTACTTTACACATAATGGCACTCAATACAGATTTGTTTACTTGAGTCACCTAAAAATGATAAGACTAAAGATGAAAATGACGAGTTTAGAGGAAGCCTGTGTCCATTTTATTTTCTGTATTTTTCTTCCCTTATTGGCAGATTTGGGCTGAAATACTTGTTGGTTTTTTTTTTTTTTAACTCTGTATTTATGTAGATCTTTTCACCTGAGAAGATCATAGCATTATGAAATGAAAAAGTCTATCTTTTAGCAGGGTTGTGAAAGTTTCTATCAGAACATTAAAAATGTACAATTATATAATTTTTGGGAAACTGGTTTAAAATTATTTTTTATGTTTCATATATGTATACATATACACATATATATATTTTCAACTGAGGGGATGTAGAGTGAGCTTTTTTAGTACTTCATGTTTAAAATTTAATTCTATATTTATCACTTTTTTCCTTTTTGATGAACTCTCTATTGTGTTCATTTTGGGGGTATTTTCGGACTGAATAATTTTATGTCCTTATTCATAATATTGTGCACATTGAATAACTACCGTGATGTTAACTATAAATATAGAAAGTATTCTTTTATTTATTTGAAAATTAAAATATTCATTTCCCTCTTCTTTATGTTATGTCTCCAATGCCTGTGGGATTCCTCTTTTCATCCTTTATCCTTAAAGGAGCAGCCATACCACAGCACATTCCAGAAAGGGTCTCTCTTCAGTTCCTTCTTACGTGGTGTCTTGAAATAAGAGCAATTCCTAAAAAGGTATTATCCTCCTTCCCTCTTTGCATTTTAGTATTTAAATTAATTACATACCCCTTGCACTACTTAGGGTAGAAAATTTCAGAACAACGTAATCGGTTCTTGACAATGATCTACTATAGTTGAATACTTATTATGTTAACCCAATAAATGAAAGCAATTTTTCATATTGCTTGGAAATTCGTAAGAGTCCACATTTTTTCCCTTTTTTAACCAGTTTTTCAGAAAATAATAACCAGCAGTTATTAAGCATTTAGATATAATGTCATGTGAAAACTTGTTGTTGATGAATAATTTCTATAGACAAAATTGAAAATATTTTTAGCAGAAAATATGTGGTTTTTTTAAGTTGAAAGATCCACTAGATGTCAGTATTCTACAACATCTTACTGGAAAAATTGCCTTTAATTGATTTCTCTTGCTACTCTGCCTTAAGTGACTGTATTGATATAACATGCCAAACTACATTTTGCCAGATATCTCATAAAAGCAAGAATGTGTAAGATATGCTGTGGTTACAGAATACTCCCCAATACTAATATTTCTTTTTTTTCCTTTCCATCTTGTTCAGTTTATGTCATATAACTTGCTAGGCCAAATGACCATGTTCTCAGGAGGTTCATCATCAAATGTAACATGAGTCAAACTATAGTATTCACTGTATAGAAAATATTTTTATTATATATATACTAATGTAATTCAGTTATAGCACTTCTGTACTAGAAACATTTCTCTCATTTGAGGAGTCATGGGGCAAGTGTTCAGTGATTATATTTTGCCGTATGAAAGTCTCATTTATACATTCATTTGCAAAGTTCATGAGTAAACTTTTTAAACCAAAAATCTGTCCCCCATTTGTGGCCCATATTGCCAGACTCAAGATGCTCCATCATTTGTAGGTCTTCAGTATACCTATTTCCTCGTTATTTTTTAGCTCAGCATGCTTTGAATCTTTTGTGAAGCCTGATGATAAGTTTTGGATGAAAGCTTCAGATTCAGATAGCAGTCTTTCTTGGCATTATACCTCTCTCACCCCACAAATAAATTAAAATTTGAAACTAAATAAAACATCAAAGCTATATGTTGGGGCACAAAGAGAGGTAGTTTTTTTATCCTTAGTTAAAATACTTAAGAATGGAATTGAAGTGAAACTGAACTGTTGATACACCTTGCAGGGGTTTGTGCTTGGACATGTATAAGAAGTCCCGTGCTCTACTTGGTCGCTTCTGGTTTTTCTTATTCTTTGCATTGGAACGTTTGATGTAGTTTACACTGAGGGCAACTGGGATATGGAGGCATAAGGTGGATGTTGGATTAACTCAAATAGAAGTATTATATGTATACTAAAGCTTGAATTACTAATAATAAAGATTTAATTCAAAGCTTGCCACTGAGCCTTCAAATCACATTTAACTTGATGGACAACTTGCATTGTGTTTTGCACACAGATTTTGTAACCTTGCAGGTTACTGCAAACTATGGCCAGAAATTAGAAGATAAAAACTGAGTTTTCCTAGCAGAGAGTGAATTATATTTTCCTTTAGGTATTTGTGCTGTCTATCCAGCTCATTTTTGGATAATTGGGCACATTTTCAGATAAATAATGAACGAGCAACCATGACAATCTAAGCCACAGAGGACACCTTCATTAAAATCTCTCTTTTCGCTTACCACAGGCATTTTTGCGAGCCCTTGTAGAATATACCAGTGATAGTACTGAAAAGCGAAGGTTACAAGAACTTTGCAGCAAACAAGGGGCCTCTGATTATAATCATTTCATACGAGACTCTTATGTCAGCTTGTTAGACTTACTCCACGCTTTTCCAACTTGCAGGCCACCTCTTAGTCTGCTGCTAGGTAAGTGGTTACTTTTGGTTTAATTGGTTTCACATTCTTTGAAATTTCACATACTACATGTATAGGCCCTTTTTGAAGAAAAGGAAAATTACTGTTCGGTTACTTTTTAGTCCTTAAAAATTTCAAGAGCCAAAGCTGGAAAATGTTAGAAATGGTAATTATCAAGAACAGATCCTTGTAGTTTATCTCAAAATGATCAGTACCCAAGGGGAAAGTAGCCTTCTAAAAGTGAAAAGACTATGAGAGGAAAAAAAAACCCTCAATTTTTTTTTCCAATTCAATATAGCTATGTTTTTCTTTCATAAAAAGTTTCAATTTTTGATGAGTCTGAATTGTTAAATATTCCTAATCCTTTCTATTTTACCAGTTTTCTACAAAGTTCTCTGTTAGTCAGATCTTCACAAATATTTTAACAATTAGTCTTTTCCAAAAGTACCCAAAATTAGACTAAATTTATCAAGAATTTAAGTATTATCTACCTAGCACTGTGCTAGGTGCTCTGTGAGATTAAATACACACACAAATATTTGTCTTCAGGGAGTTAAAATCCCATTAAATAAATAAAATAAAATCCACCCCCACCCCCTCCCCCCCAAAAAATAGGTAGTCTTAGTACAGAATATTTTTGACCCAAAATGGACTTTGATTTTGAACCAAAGGGTAAAACTAGGGTCCATAACATTCCTCTAATTTATAAGACACTCTTGGACTCTATATTATGGATTTTAACTAAAGTAAAACTGTTGTCTTACGAACGTAGTTGTCAAATTACTGTTGCTTACTATAAATTTTAACTTAGTCATATTATGAGAGGCTGAAAGCTCATATTGCTGATTTAGCAATTGACTACTGGAAAATGAAGAATAACATGAATTTCACAGTTATTTACTAATTGATAGTCATAATTTTTAAAGTCAGCCATGTTACCATCAGAGTACACAATTCAATAAAAATTGGCCACTATCTTATAATTGTTTTTCTCTTTAAGTTCATTACACTTCTCTTGATAAGAGCTGGTATTTTTTTCCCCTTTTCTTGTAGGGTGCTGACTTTTCTATTTTTATTTTATTTGTGTAGCTTTTTTTTTTTCAGTCAACTACATCCACTCCTATCATCTTTGTTATGTTTAGAAAGTAAATACCATTTTTAATATTTTGAGAAATATTTCAATCTCAACATTTTTTTTCTCTTGAATTTTCATACCTTTAGCATTAACCTTGATGCCTCAGTTTTCCTCACTCCACATATCCAGTTAGTTGCCAAATCTTGCTTTTTTACCACTATAGCAACCTCTTGCATCTGACCTCTTCTCAGCTACCACCTTCAAGCCTACATTACCTCTTTCCTAAACTATTGCAATGACATACTAATTGATTTTCTTGCCTAATGTTCCTTCTCACTCCAACCTATCCTGCACTCAGCTGCCAAAGTGATTTTCCTTAATCTGACCATATCATTCCATGCTTTTAGGAAGAAACATAAACTTTTATTTGTCTTTTAAAGCCCTTCTGGCTCCCACTTAGCTCTCATTATACATTACTGCTTTTCACATATTCTTTGATCCAACCAAACTGGTCTTCTCTTTTTCTTCATACATGGCTCTCCATCTCCCATCTTTATATAGACTATTCATTTCTCATGCCTGAAATATCCATCTCCTTCATTTCCACTGTACAGCACCCCATACCTCCTGCAATATGAAATTCAAGCAGCATCTTTTTCATGAAGATTTCCTTATCCCCTCAACTTCTAGTGCTCTATCCTAGTTATTTGTATTCAACTACCATGTAATATATATATGTATGTATATATATATATATGCACAAACATACATATGTATCACATATCTATGTACATACAAATATATATAATACATATATATATATATGTTATCTCTACTGATAGGATAGAAAGTTTGTTTGTATTTGTATACTAAGCATTTAGCAAAGTGCATGTCACATAAGAGACATTTAATAAATGTTTGATAGATTAATTGTACTTTTGTGGGTGAAATTTAACAAGATGTTAAACTGAGACACAGTTCTCTGAGCAAGATAACATTGCATTCATAGGGTGGAAATCTTGAGAATAAAGTGGGTCAGTGGCTGCTTGAGTTTCTAGCCAAAGACCCCAAGCAAAAGGACAGTGCCCCCCAAGTTTAGCAGAATTCCTTGAGGCAAGAATTAGAACAGTGATAAGGAAGAGAACTGGATTTCTAAACAACCCATTACAGGCCAGCTGAATTCTGAACTAAGTTTGGAGGCTTAGAACCATGACTTAGACAGTTACAGGACAAAATCAATTAACTGTAAATTGGATTGATAAGAAAAGGATATAGGATCAATTTTAATCTTCTCAGTACTATGGTGAAATAGTGTTCTCAACCTGAAAACTAATACAGTACACAGATTTTGTGTCCTTGGTCCACTTTTTTCAGTGACTCCTACAGGGATATAATTTCCCCAATTAGTCAGTGTCACTTAGGATAAGATGTTGCTGCCTTTGGCCTTCTGATACATGCTAACCAAGTTCCCTCAGGCATTTCCTGGACCTGACTAGTTCCCTACTAATGTGAAACATCACATTTGTGGAAAGAATAGCAGTTGCACCCAGACTGACTGAGTTTCACTTAGATTTTATATTAGGGATGAGAAGAGATGGATCAGCTTCTATAGTGTTACCCTCATCCACAACCTTGTGCTTTGTACATTTAGCCCTTTGACTATTACAGTTGGTTGATGGGATGGAAAGGGGCCTTGTTAACCTTAGAGACTATCATATTTAGTACACATTCACAGCAAGTTCAGGCATTAAAGAAGCAACCAAAGTTGTCCCAATATATTCTTAATAATGCATGAACATTTGTCTTTCCCTAAGATATCTTTTACAGTGTTGTGCTTCTTGTGGTGACATCACACATGATGAAAACTGACACCTACCTTGAGTCACTTTATGTTAGGGTGCAAAATTATAGTCCAAATATATCCTACTTCTGATGATTCTCATCAAATATTTAAAAAAAAATCATGTAGGAAATGCATGATTAAAAAAGGAGATGGGTTGGTCAAGTCATGACAGCAAGGTATGACAGTCATACCCAAGGTACATCTGTATCTACATCATGTTAAAAGAGATCTAGTCACACCTTCCAGGCTATGGATTATCATCCTGTAGAAGAGGTCTTAAGCCCCCTCCCCATATTTCTGAGCGCTTTGGAAACCAAATTATAATGTAATTGGGAAATCTTTAACAAATAAAAATACAATAGAACATGGGTGATGTTAATGTTCTAAGTCAGCAAGTAGCCCACAAGGATACTTATGTATGGTTTAGTGCCACCATTTCTATTTCAATTTGACACCACTGCTCTGGAGGAGTAATTTAACCCCAGGGATCCAAGTTAGTGCATATCAAAGGGCCCAGAACTAACCAGAACTATAATTAACCAGCTTTGGAACCTGTCCTTACTACTGTCATTCAATGAAAGGAGAACCAGTACCAGGTGACTGTGTCCTGCATTGTGGTTTTTGGGGGCTGAGAAGAACATAGTGTTTTATTGTCATACAGACCGTGGACGGAAGGATATTTAGTGTAGTTTCTCTGGAGGAATTTCTTGAGGGCTTAGACAAGAGCTTTTTTAGAATGAGATCAGTCCAGATCAATCCACAAATATGTCTTGAGTGCCTACCATGTCAATTATAGTCTTCTATTATAGGAAATGTTGATTATAAATAAGATCACTGTTCCTTTTTAATATTGAAGAAATTAATTTTTTATCAACAACTTTTTTTTTTAAAGAACATCTTCCCAAGCTTCGAGCCAGACCATATTCTTGTGCAAGGTACTGTACTTTATATAAAATAGCATTATTCTTCCAGAGTTTATCATAGTCTTCAAATGTATAGATAAAAACGATTTAAATTAAAAATCATTTCATTATATGTTGAGTGCTTGCTCCATGTTAGAGACTATACTTGGTGCTCAGCGTACTAAAATAAAAAGAAAGACTCTTTTTTTTTTGTTTTAAGAGATCTAAAGTTTCAAATATCAAAAAGATTCCGATTATTAATAGCATAAAGTCCACATTCCACAGCCTGATGCCCTTTTGTTCACTCTCTGCTGCTTTGAGGAATGGATAAACAAAAGAACTATTTAATTGAAAATAAGTTTTTTCTTACCTGTTTCTTCTTTTACTTCTAAAATGCCACAAGAAGCTAGAACGGACAGAGTTACATTGGTTGGGGATGCAGGGGAAGAAGAACATAGAGAGCACACAGTTATTTTGGTTTTATAAAAAAAGATCATTTCATATTATTTATCTTGACCTATAAAACAGAAGAAAATCTTAGACCTTTTTCTGGTCTTTCCATTTTGAACATTTGGGCATTAAGATTTTGGTTTTGTTGTTTTGTTTTGTTCTTCAAATATCAATAGTCTCAGCAAATGGGAGGAGTTCACTGTCTTATGAGGACCCATAAAATGCACATGTTAAAAACAGTCCTAGTAAATTCTGAATAATTTTTCATGTAGTTTCTTTTTTTTTTAATTTTTATTTATTTTATTCTGAACCTAGGAAATAAAACAAGCATTTTCATAATAGTAGAATAAGAAAAAAAAAGATGATTGCACATGGAATTGCAAATCTATTACATACAACTTGCTATTTTTTTAAATATATAGTAGAGTTAACATGTAACTTTGTTTTTCCTTTTTTTCTTCTTCCCACCCTACCCTCCTCCCTCCCCCCCCCCTCCTAAAGATGGCTGTCATTAGACACAGGTGTGTGCGCGCGCGCGTGTGTGTGTGTGTGTGTGTGTGTGTGTGTGTGTGTGTGTGTAAAACCATTCTATATATACTTCTAATTATCTGTTCTTTCTCTGGATGCAGATAGCGTCTTCCTTCATAGGTCCTTTGTAGTTAATTTGGGAATGTGTAATAAGTCAAAATAACTGTGCAAGTCAGTTTTTATAAATATCACTATATCATGAAGACCAGACAATTGGAAATCTTATCAGTATAAATGTTATCAGGTCTAAAACTCATCTAGGAAAGCAGTACATGTTTTCATTCACAGAGAGCAGACAGATAGATAAGATCCCGTCAGTAAATATTATCTCCCCAAATGAAACTACCTTGTTTTCCATATAATAGTTCAAATATAGAACTGATGGCTTTCTGCTGTCTGTATCTTTGCAGCTCCTGTTTATTTCACCCAGGGAAACTTCATTTTGCATTTAACATTGTAGAGTTTTTGTCCGGTGTGGAACCTGTGACTTTGCGAAAAGGAATATGTACAGGCTGGCTAGCCATAATGGTTGACTCAGTACTTCAGGGAAATGGGAATGTCTCACAAGGAAATGATGTTGAAGCTAGCTTTCCAGAGGTACTTAAAATACTCTTAAGATTTCGTCATCCTTAAAAGAATTATTCCCAACCTGGAGAAAAGATTCCTCTTTTATTCTACATTGTTGTCTTCAGTTTCTGAAGAAGAAAATATACACTCTTAATTTAGTATCTTGATAATGGAAATATAAATTATATTTGAAATGTGCATTCTTTATTGTTGTTATCAAATTCTGAAGTTAAAAAAAATTTATGTATTTATTTGAATGCCAGCTGTTCTAAGTGCAGGAGAATATTGTTGTCATATTTTATACCTATTCTCTGAGTCTTACTTTTCCCCCTGGAAAACACATTAAACATAGTATGGTTTGTTTTTCTGCTTTCCTCTGTTCTTTATAGTCTTAGAAAGAGTTTGATTTTTCTTTTTCCTATAAGAAATTATTTCAGGAAGAACAGAATATTTACTGTACAAAATGACTAGAGGCTTTCATCTTTGTCCTCTCCACCACTTAACGCTACCTTTCCTTCGCTCCTTATCCCTAATACAACCAGTTTTAAGTTTGCAGTATAACTTAAGTTAAACTTTTAAGACATTCTTATATAAACACTAGAGATTACTAGTGTCCTAGCAAGGATGTTAGACTGTGTTTTTTTTTTTACTACTTCTTTTCCCCTTTTTCTGTTACACTTTTGATGTAAAGAATCAAAAGCACTGAAGAAGATAGCTTATTTCATTAATCCACAAATTACATTTATGTTTGCTCACTGGCCTTTGTGACTAGTTTATACATAGTCATGTGACCCTTAGAAAAATCTTAAGTACGTCTTCTACAATGGTCATTGGTCATTGAAATAAGGGAGTTTTCTCAGGCTTATCATGAAGTCCTCAGTGTATTTCTTGTCCTTATGAGATGTGATTTCTAGTTTTATCTCATGACTATTTTACTTTCTATAAAGTATTTGAGTTGGAAAGTGCTTATCCTCTGGGGAGAAATTAAAAGACTTCTTGTGTAGATGTGAGAGCCCTTGGGGATGACAGCCGCTGGGTAATGATGCCTTTCTCCTCCATCTTCTCTTTTCTGGACATACTGCCTTTATTAGGGAGGAATTTTACAATGTATTTTTGTCCCCAAAGAAGTTGTTCCATCATGTATACTTATTAGGCTTCCAAGTCTGTTAGGCTGATGTGAAATGATAGGAATCTGAGAAATTGTGCTTCCTTTACTAAAATAAATTACTGTAGAACTGACCCTGAAACTTTTAAGTTGATTCCTGATACCTGTCCTTATGAGTATAAAAAGTAAGGAGGAACTGTAAAATTAGGCATGGTGTTCTAACAAACATAATGGGTTTAGGGGGAAAAAAATGAAAAGAAAACATGCTGTTTTATTAGACTACCCCAGCAATACAGAGAAGAAAAGGAAGAAATTAATGTAGACATTTTTGAAAACAAGAATTTTACTGGAATTACCAACAGTTCTGGTTTCTTTCTGCAATATAAATCACGTGTTAGTTTAGTGTTTAGAAATTTTGCATATAGTAATGGTCAAGATAGTTTTTCACATAAAGTGCATAGATGTTGGCATATATTAAAATATTTATCTTCAGTTAACTGCAATTTTTTTATTAAGAAATCAATGCTTAGATTTGACAGTCAATTTTGCATTGCTAATACAATGCACTCTACTAATGAATTTCACAAGTATGTTTTCTCTGGATTAAAGGACAAAGGCAAAGACAGCTTCACATGCTTTAGGCAGAAGCTTCTAATGATGTTCTTACCGTCAATCAAAAAGATAATCATTCAGTCTGCGATATAACACACATATATATATTTTTCATTTCCTTTATGACCTTGGGTTTCTTACTGAAATACATTTTTATACTCTAGCTTGTAAAAAGAAAAACTTCATAAATCTGTTGTACTCAGTACCCTTTCTTTACTTAAAAATGTAGCTTATTCTCATTTTAAAAACAGTTGGGATTTAGGAAGAAAAATAGGAAAGCCTTCCAGCTTCATTTTTATATGTCTCTTTTCTTTCATTGTGATGAATCTGTTTATAATTTCACTGAGGTTGATGCTATTGTTTTATTCAGAGGTGGTTCTTAAGAAAAGTGTATTTTCAGATTTCATCACCTATTGTTGCTTTGAACTTCCTCTTCCTCCTCCTCAAAGGTATTCTTTCAATTTTGTAATTATGTTTCTTGATTTTTCAGATCTCCATTTTCCCTCATACCACCAACTCTTTCCGATTACCCAATGATCCTTCAGTACCTATTATAATGATTGGTCCAGGAACTGGAATTGCACCTTTTATTGGTTTCCTACAACATAGGTATGTTCTGCCTTATTTGATATTTAAAGAGCAATCATGTTTTTAATTAATGGGAAAAAACTAGTGTCTTCTAGTGCAGGAAATTTTATAAGGACTTTCAATTTTATTTTCTGGGTAACTTTCTTAGCAGTTTTTGATAACATTGTACTTTTCTTCAAAATTCTTGAAAAACATTTTTGATAATCAAACGTAAAGCATAAGTAAATGCTAATAAGTTAAAAGGATAGCAGCTATTCAGATTGCATTACAGAATTTTCAGTCATAAACGTGTTTTTGTTTTATGAATGAGCAATGTTGATTTACTTTGCCACATGTTGCTTTTATCCATGCATTTCAGTTTTTTATCGTGGTGTAATCAGTGCCCCTTTTCAGATACTCTTTCATGTTATAGAATTCAAGACGTTATCTCTAGGATCCTTAACACCATTTATAAATGATACCTGGATGAGATCCCATTATTTCAGAGACTTCATGAAGAAGTATCACCATTAGTCATTTTTGACAGTTTCATTAACAATATCTAAACAAAACTTTATGATGTTGAGCGCTATTAAAAGTACTTACCTCTATATCTGAAATAACACCTGTGCACTGTATATAGCTCCTATATAGAGTGGTTTTCTTTAAAACACTGAGGTAGCTTGGCACAGTGGGTAGAGAGCTGTCCGGGGAACTAAGAAGTTAAATTCCTTCCTCTAGTCCATACTAGCTGTGTATCCCTTGGAAAGTCAGAAAAGATTCCTGCAGTCCAGATCAACCTAGAAAATCACAAGTTGACATTAACAGTGTTGTATTATATTTTTATTTGTTTTGTTAAACATTTCCCAATTACATTTTAATCAGATTCAGGCTACACTCAGGAGGTCCCTGAAGTTGACACCTGTTCTAGACAACCAAGTTTCAGAAAATATACCAACCTGCAATAGTAGAAGGACTTCCTGTTTCTGGGAGTTCTCAGTACCAGTGAAATCACAGGGACTGGCCCAAGCTGTTTTTTGTAAATATTCATGCTCTGCTCCCTGCCTTCTTTTCTTTTTTTTAGAAAGGACAGTTCAGAAATACAAGATTTGCAGGTAAAAATGTTTTTAATTGTGTTTGCCTCAGTTATGATATACTAAACTGTTGATTTTCTACATTTAGACTGTTTCCAACAAATTTTTAATCCCAGAACAACATCCCCCTGCCACCCAACATTTTCCCTGCCTCATTCCACTATTATTAGGGATACAAGGACATAAAAATAATTTCTAATATTAACCTAAGTACTTCATAGTTAAGAAAGGGAGTAGAGAGAATAAATTTACTTATCCCTTTTCCTTGCACTTCTCTCCCTCCTTCATCCCTTGACCCCCCCCCCCATATCAAACTACAAAATATACTTCAAAGCCAATGTAATTTTTGGATCCCAGTGTTCCTTTAATTCCTTTAGTGTAAGTAATTGAAACTGACTCCAGTTGTACTCTTTTTGTAACATATTCCACCAATTTATGAATTAAGGTGAATGTACAGTGGGGAGTAAGTAATGAAATTTTGTGTTGTGCTGCTGTACAAATATGATGTTTGGGCCTTTTTCAAAATGAATTCTATTTCTGATTTTATTTGAAATTAAATAGTGGCTCTTGGTGTCTTATACATCACGTGGACATCACGCGGCTTTCAAAATAGACAATAGCAAAGTTGAAGGCAGCAAAGTTGAAGGCAGCCTCTTTTTAATGCCTTTCACACAATGAACAGCCCTCGTTTTTTGTTACCTCTCAAGTTTTTCCAAGCAAGAAGTCTTCCTCTCTCTCCCCCCTTGCTTTTTCCCAAAAGAAGTAAAATATATTCTACTGGCTCTTGATAATCTGTGACTTGTTTTTCTTTATTATTCTTTGCCTAATACTGAAAGTTTGATACTTATCTTCAACAGATAATCAGTATTATTTCCATTCTCTGGAACACAGCTTTATTTTTCAGCCTTAAAAAGAAATTATATATCTAGTTGTGATTCATGGTTTAATTTCAAATTATAACTCAATTTTTAATTCTCTTAAGTTGTTTTAAGACTGTTTGTATATCTAAACTGTGACATTGATGATCAATAAGCCCACTTGTGTTTCATTTATAATGACCTGAGGTATATTTCTGAAATATTTTCAGTAAAACAGTTTTAATACTAATTCCCTTCGTGGATCACTGTCATGTTAGAATTTTATTTCACAGAATACCATCCAAAGGCTATTACACTTTAAAAAAAGTTTTTGAAGTAAGAAGGGGGAAAAATTATATAGTTCATTGGGACAGTATAAGGGAATTTAATTGAAATAAACTTTTTCTTTCTGCTTTCTTTTGAGAAGGTGTGTGAAATACTATAAAAAAGGATTTCTTTGCAGTGATTCTTATGGACACCAGATTTTTCATTTCTTTGAGTGGGATACATCTTGTTAAAGCTTAAACCATAGTTGCAGTGTAGTAACTTAACCTCAAGTTGAAGTTCAAGCCCCAAGTTCAAATATGACTGAAAGAAAGAACCCAAGAGTTTGAAGTGGTCAATATTCTTTTAAAAAAAAAAATCAGTCAGTAGATATTTACTACTAGATGTAAGGGTTTGTGCCGATACTGCAAAGGAGATAATCCTTACCAGGAACTTAATGTTCTGATTTATCTTTATATATAAGCAAAAGATGATGCTTACAGAAGATGTACTGCCAAGTCATTGCATGTGTGTGTATACCACATATATATATACATGCATACATACACATGTGCACATATGTGTATGTGCCTGTATAGTAGAAATAATAGTCATAAAGTAATAACAGTAACAATAGCAACTAACTACTGTATGCCAGTGCTTTTCACATATTTCCTCACTTGATCCTCAAATGAACCCTGGGAGGTAGGTTCCATTATTTTCATTTTACAGAAGAGGAAACTGAGACAAACAGGGTAATGACTTGCGCAGGATCACATAACTAATAAGTGTTAAAGTCACATTTGAACTCAGGACTTCCTGACTCCCAAGACCAGCATTCTATCTACTGTAGTATGTGTGTGTGTCTGAGGTGTCTGTGCAATTGTGTTGTCACAGTCTGATCAGTAAGAATTAATGATGATCTCTTCCTCATGGGCATGTGGGTGGTGCGGTGACTAGAGCACAGGGCCTAGAGGCAGGAAAACCTAAGTTCAAATCTAACCTCAGATATTTACTAGCTGTGTGACCCTGGCAAGTTCTTTAACCTTGTTTGCCTCAGTTTCCTCATCTGTAAATTGAGCTGGAGAAGGAAATGGCAAACTATTCTAGTGTCTATGCCAAGAAAATGCCAAATGGAATCATGAAGAGTTGGACATGACTGAACCGACTGAATGAGTTTCTCATATATTGTGGATATCAGACCTTTATCAGAAAAATTTGTTGCAAAAATTTTTTTTCCCACCTGTGTTTCCCTTCTGATTTTAATTTTTTTCATGCAAAAACCTATAAATTTTCTATAATCAAAATTGTCCAATTTATCTTCCATGAACCTTTCTGTCCTTTAGAGGCAATGAATTCCTCCCCTCTTCATAACTGCAAGAGATAATTTTTCTTGCTCTTTAATTTATATTTATATATCCATTTAGAGTTTATCATGGCATGAGGTATGAGATGTTGGTCTATAGGTAAATTTCTGCTAGATTGCTGTCCGGTTTTTCCAGCAGTTTTTGTGAAGTTGTTCAGGTCTTTGGGTTTGTCAAACAATATTCTACAGTGCAATCATTTGTTTCTTCATGCTGTTTATCTCATACATTCCACTGATTGATTTATTTTTGGACCAGTAACAAATCATTTTGATGATTACTCTTTTGTTATGTATTTTAAGATCTGATACTGCTAAGTCTTCTTTCCCATAGTTTCTCCCCCCTATTATTTCCTTTAAGATTCTTGACCTTTTGTCTCTTCAGATGAATTTCATTATTTTTTTTAGCCTGATGAAATAATCCATTAGTAGTTTAATTGGTTTGGCATTGAATAAGTAAATTAATTTATTAAATTAATAGTCATTTTTATTAACATTGACATGACTTGCCCATGAGCAATTAATATTTCTCTTGTTTTTTAGGGTCTATTTCTGTAAAGTGTATTGTTACATTCATATAGTTCCTAGGTATGTCTTGTATTATAGCTTATGTAGTTATTTTGAGTGGAATTTGTTTTCTGTATTTATATTTTGTTAAATTACTAATTGTTTCAATCTTTAGGTGACTTTTTAGGGTTATCTAGGTAGACTATCTTATCATCTATAGAACTCAGTAGTTTTGTTTCTTCCTTGCTGCTGTTTTATTCCCTTGATTTTTTTTTCTTGCATCATTGTTATACCTAGCATTTCTAATATTGTGTAGTATATAATTGTATAATGAGAAGCTTTGCTTGACTTACAGTCCTATTAGGAGAGAACCTCCTACGTTTCTCTCTTATGTGTTTGTTTGCTTTTAATTTTAGATGCTATTTACCATATTATTTATTCTCATCCTTTCTAGTGTTTTTAAGAGAAATAGGTCTTAGAGTGTGCTAAAGACCATTTTGGCATCTATTGAGATAATCATGTGTTTTAAAATTATTTTTGTTGTTGATTTTACATATTGTGTTTAGTTTTTCTTATACTGAAACCCAGCCTGCATGCTTAGTATAAATTCAACCTGTTTGTGTTATCTTTTAAATGTGATTTTGTATCCTATTTGCCAATATTTTTTGTGTCAGCTTTTTTTAGAGATATTAGTCTATAGTTTTCCTTCCCTTTTAACTCTTCCTGGTTTAGGAATCAAGACCATATTTGTATCATAGAAAGAGTTTGGAAAATTCTTTTTGCAAACAGTTTGCATGATATTGGAGTTAATTGTTCTTTGAATGTTTGATAGAATTAATTCACTTGTAAACACATCTGATCTTTTAGCTTTTTTTTTTCTTTAGAGTTCATCTAAGGCTTTGCTGATTTCTTTTTTGACATTGGATTATTTAAATTTATTTCTTCTGTTAATCTCAATATTTTATATTTGTAATTATCCATTTTATCCAAGTTCCGTTTTTATGGGCATATGAGTGAGAAAATAATGTCTAATAATTTCCATTATTTTCTCTTCATTTGCTCTGAATTTTCATCTTCATTTTTGATATAAACAATTTTTTTCTCTTTTTAAATTACTAGCTAAGATTGTTATTTTCCCGCAATTTTATCTATCTTATCTTTGGTTTTCAGAATTTCTATCTTGGTTTTTTTTTGTTTTGTTTTTTGTTTGTTTTTTTCTAGTTGGGAGGGTTGATTTGTTGCTTTTCTAAGGTTTTGAGGGGGGATATTGTTTTGGGTTTTTTTGCTTTAGTTATATGCCCATCTCACTGATTTGTTCTTTCTCTCTTTAATTGATGAAAATGTTTTTAGAGATATAAATTTTCCCCTGATCTGGTTCAGGCCAGTTTCATGTTAGTTTAGGCTCAGTGTTAGATTAAAATAGTTAAGGAAGGGAGGTTTACTTAGCCATGGCATATTTAGTCTGGGTCTGGCCTGTAGGTCCAACTGTGATGACTCCCATAATCTTAGGGCATACATCAAGTTTAAAGGACCCAGACACCTTGTGGATAGAACTTTTTATGCCCTTAGGTGGCTAGAAAGTCAACACCAAAAAGTTGTAGTCAGCTGATTGGCTTGAGCCTCCTGTAGTCTTAGGGACAGCTTCCTTGTCCCACCAAATTGGAGGAAGAGAGAAGAGATAATTGGTAGAGAGTGATTCTATCACATTCCATCCCTTGGGGCCAATTTTGATACTCATTTTGGGTAAATTTAGATAACCTGGCCTGACTCAACAACTGGTTTTAACATCATAGTTTGTTTTCTGATTATGGTTTCCAGTTAAGTGAAAGTGTTTTTCCTTCATGTAATTTTCTTTTCTCATACTTTTTCTAGACTAATGAGAGTTTTGCATTTTATAGATTGAATCTTAGTATTTTTGAGTGTATTAATAATAATGGGTTTGTTTTTTTTTCATTTATAGGATATGCACAAATTCCAAGTTGGCTTTTGTAGTAGTAGATGTTAAAACAGAAACAGTAAATTATGAAATTTTACATTAAGATATTTGCTTTTCTAAGTTATTATGACTATAAACTTCATTGTTTTTTCAAAGTTGTCAAACATTAAGGAGATGGGAGTGTGAAATGTTATGAAAAAACCAGTTTCACACAGTTTTCAAATTCTTTGTTCAATGGCCTAGCTAATCCTTTTCATTCTGTGTTTAGAAATTATATATTTGTACATTTTTTTTTTTCAAATTAGATTTACATAATGTTTTTCGTTTGAAAAGTGAGAAGCTGTCTTCAGGCCTTATGCTACCAACTTTTGTGATCAGGCCCTGAACATTCAAAAGTTAGTTAAATGATTGAACTTCAAGTAGAACATTAAACATGAAATAGAAAAGAAGCAATTTTAAAACTAACCAGCATTCCTTCACAGTATTGTTTAACAGCAGAGAAATTTGGCTTTTACATTATTTCAATATCAAGTACATTATTTTCTTTTTCATTCAGAGAAAAAATCCAGGAACAGCAGCCAGATGGAAACTTTGGAGCCATGTGGTTATTTTTTGGCTGCAGACATAAGGATAGAGACTATTTATTCAGGTATTTCGTCATTTGGTAGTCTAGTATCTTACAGCTGACCATTGGCTAATACAACATCTAATGTTCAGCCTTTTAAAAACTAGCTAACCTTATTTGGATGTTCTATTTCAGAGAAGATCTAGACCATTTCCTTAAAAATGGCATTTTAACTCAGCTGAAAGTCTCCTTCTCCAGAGATGTTCCAGCGAAAGGGGAAGATACCTCACCCAAATATGTGCAAGATAATATTCGCCTTTATTCCCAGCAAGTCACAAGAATCCTTCTCCAAGAAAAGGGTTATGTCTATGTGTGTGGGTAAGTGGATTTGACACTAGTACATTAAGTGGGAAAAAGAAATTAGTAGTTCTGTAAACAGATAGCTTTCAGTACTAATTAATTTGTTCACATAACGAAGAGATATTTTCTCAAGCTCAAAAACAGAAGCATTAAAATTATATTTGAGCATACTTTTGATACCTAGAATTTGATACATAACCATCATGGCAGAGTAGAGAGAAAGCTGGCCTTGTAATTGGAAAGACCTGGGTTCAAGACCTCCCACTGATACTTTCTGGCTGTTAACAAGTCATTGAAGCTCTTAGGGCAGCAGGCACCTAGCTAAAACTAAGTTTCAGAGAAGGTGCAAGTCTTACTAGCCAGGATTCCCTGCACCGATGGAATGATACACATACATAATGTCCTTGACAGGAAGATGGTGATGAAGATTAACTTTGTCATATATAAACTATTCTAGCTTATGTAAGTAAACCAGCCTGAGAAATAGATATGTGGTCTTATATTTTACATGAATTATTTGCTAATGTGAGGGACACAATCACCTTCTTCCCTTCTTCTTTAATGCAGAGTATTTGTGAGTAGACTGACAAACCTGGAATTTATTTTCTTGAGGAATTATATCCTTTTTTTAGTTCTGGGTCTTGATCCTTTGGTGGAAATTGTAGTAATTACCCTTAAATGCAATGACTATTTTGATTTAACTTATTGATATTATGGAAATAGATAAGATTTAGTACTAACAAAAACCATTTTATATCATAGGATGCTCATTTAGAGCACATAACTATTAAGATGTTAAAAGCCTGTATTAAAATGGTATAAATTTTCACCTCAGTCTTCCAAATAAGGACATCTAATTTTGGTGTTAGATGAATGTTAATATGCAGTTTTAGTACTTCTTCTGTTGCGTGAAAGAAACTTTAAGTTTTCATCATTATATGACTAGTTTGTTAACCTTTCGATAATGTCAAACATTTTACATTTAGTCCTCGGTGGTCACAGTGAACCTTTGGAATTTATGGAGTAGGAGAGTAATGTGGTTAGATCTGCACTTTAAGAATTATCATTTTAATAGCTGAGTGGAGGATGGACTGGTGTGGGGAGAGACTTGTGGCATAGTCACAGTGTGAAGTGAATAGAACTTGCAGTGGGGTGGCGGTGACATGTCAGAATAATGAAGGGGAAGAATAAAAAGATATTATAAAGTTAAAACTAACAGGCTTTGCCAACAGATTGGAGGTTCGGGATGAGTATGAAGAGTCCACAATGACATTTGGTTTGCAAGTTGATAATAATGTATGTACCCTACTTAAACAGGATGGTTGTGAAAGTGAAATGATGTAATAGGCATGAAGAATTTGTAATTGCTGAGTACTGTATATATATATGATCACTATTATTATAGATCATAGTGAGTCAGTATAAAAACTGTTAGAGTGATAGCCTTACTTTAAACTCTAACCACAGCAGGTTAGTTGGCAGCAGCTCTGGTAACATAACTGGGCCTGGCAGCTATGAATAGCCATTCTGAATATCCTTAGTGTAAGTTCTACTGTGATATACCCTGTTATAAAAAGACTGTATCAATTTTAATCATCACATAATGGTCAGATCCAAATTAGGAGACAAAAGAATGTTTTCAGTAAAGTTACTATACTAGTTGACCAGGGGAAATATGAGTAGTGTGTCTGGATTTTGGCAGCATGTTTTACAATGTTTTATAGCCTCCTGGAAGACAAGGTGGAGAAAAGTGAACTATGCCAGTGATGTCAGATTCAAATAGAAACAGATCTCCGCCAGCCACATATTGACTTAGACACAAATTAACATTATCTATGTTGTTGTATTTGTATTTTGTTAAACATTTCCCAGTTACATTTTAATATGGTTCAGGCCATGTTTGGGGGTTTTGTGGGGCACTGACCATGAGTTTGACATCTCTCATCCATGTAATAAGTGGACTTAGAATTGGCTGATCAGCTGTACAGGAGTTGAATCAACCTTAATCAGTGCTAACCAAAGAGTTCTCTAGTGACGTGTTCGGTTCAGGTAATTTTGAGGTCCTGCCTGACTCTCTGTCTGACATTCTGCTGCCTGCCTTGATTAGATTACTGCTGAATTTGCTGTACTTGCTAGTAAAGAATTACATCAAACTAAAAATCTTCTTCTTTTCCAGAGATGCAAAAGGAATGGCAAAAGATGTGAATGATGCTTTAGTGGAAATCTTAAGCAAGGAGGCTGGGGTTGAAAAGTTGGAAGCAATGAAAATGTTGGCTACGTTACGAGAAGAAAAACGATATCTACAAGATATTTGGTCTTAAGATATATTTTGTCTGTTTGGAAAGACTCTCAGATCTTTTGAGCCGAAAATATTAGAATGCTTTTTCCCTATTTTCATATTCTGTGCCAATTATTTTAGTTTTTATATTTCCTGGTGGGACTTTGATATGAAAAATTTACCATTGCAGGAAGCCTTTGTTTAAGATCTTAAATAATTTACTACTGCCTACTCAGTAGTACTTCTAGGGTGTTTTTGCAAGTATTATAGTTCAGTGATGTCAAACTCAAATAGAAACAATGGCCACTAACGCATACATAAGGAATCCTATGGGCTACATATTGACTTAGTTTTAAAAATGTAATAATATCTATATTTTATTGTATTCTTATTTTGTTTAATGTTTCCCATTTTGTTTAATATTTCCCAGTAATGTTTTAATCTTGTTCAGGCTGCACTCTGAGGGGTTATGAACCTCATATTTGGCACTTCCGCTGTGGTTGAGGGTGTGTGTTGTGGCTTCTATTGCTTGCCAACTTTCCCAAATGTAGGTTGAACTTTCCTTGTTAAAATGGACTAGCAAGTGTGGAAAAAAGGTAAAAAACAATTAACATGAATAAGACTTTCTCCTTATTTAGTTAGAGCCAAACAAGCATTTTAAAAAATGAGACCTTTGAAAGGTAATTCTTCAACTATCCCAAACATTTTGTAAATAAGTATATTTTTCTTTGCCTCAGGATTTCTAGAAACTATATATTAAAATGAGCAGTGTAGCCATTTCAGTGATTTGAGCAGTAGTGTTGAATTAATCCTTACTTTATTTTTGTCAGTTTATATTGCTCAAATTTTTGATAAGTACAGGATTTTTGTACAAGATAACCTTCATATTTTATATTTCTAGAAATGTTTAGTATTTTCAAGTTTATATCATTTAGTTGAAGAAAATTTAACTTTTATCAGATGACTAACATTACCAAAGATTTACAGAGAAAAAGTATTTTTAGCATTCATGTGTTTCCATTTATATATTATTGTATGTGTGTAGATATAGAATATACGTATATATTATATATTATACACTATATAATATGCTATATATACATACATATACTTGTGTGTGTGTGTGTGTGTGTGTGTGTATGAAATGTCTCTAAAAGATCCAAGTAGCAATTTTTTATCATGGCAGTACAGTTAATATCCATGATATATGCCAATCATTTTTGTCAAACTTATCTGTAGTGTATCTATATGCACACCCATCTATCTATATCTATTTATATCTCTCTCTATAAAATATCTATATATAATATTGTTATATTTCAGAGAACATCTGAAATATTGTCATAGTGCATCTTGTTGAATTTTATGATCTGCTGTATGTATTTCTGAAGAGAAAAAATACACTTTCATTTGAGTGAGAATATGGTATAGAACTTTTATGATTGAATTTGATGCTTGCCACTCTTCTTTGGATTTGTGTACTTCACTGCCAAATTTAGCACATCTTATTCTCATTTCTGGAATCTGTTTTAGACAGATTTTAAAAATATAAAGATTGAAAAGTTCTAACTAATCTTTATGGTCCAAGTAGAACTGTCAATTTTGATAAATTCTCTTCCAAACAAAGAGTTCAAACTGCAGATTCCTGTTCTCTTATAATCACCTTTAATTTGGAAGCAATTTACTGCTGTATCTGTTATCTCTATCATATCATTCTCCAGAGAAACTTTTTAAAGGGTTGTCAAATTAGCTTGTGCCATGTTCTTTGAGAAATAAAGGTAAACTGAGGCACAAAGTTCCAATCACAATTCATTTATTATTAAAGCTAGCAATTGCCAAACTAAGGTTCCTCTGTAGCCAAGAATAAACCAACGGGTTTACAGAGAGTATTTTTATAGTCGATAAAGAGAAATTAATAAAAAATTTATGTGTGTATGTGTACATGTACATATGTGTATGTATATGTTCATGAGATTAATAAATATTCGTAATATTGATGCATATTCATAGGATTTACAGGCATATGGAAGCATAACAGGAATAGACAAGTAAATCATTTATAACAATAGGCCTGTAGGCGTTCCCAACTCCATGTGATTTTAATTAAATCAAAGTTCAACTTTCTTGTTGGCTTGGGTATCCGTGATTAAAGAAGCAATTCATTGATATGCTATGAGGGTGTCATGGAGTATTTTCTAAGTTTTCATGAGTCTAAATGAGAATTAACTTGTGTACAAACAGGGAAACTAACACTGAGGAAGGGAAGATTTGCAAAACAAAGGACTTAGGCTCACAAGAGGGGGTGGGGGAATATTAAACTCTTAGCAACTCAAGTTATTCAGTAATAGTTATTCAGTAATAAAAGCTAGCTTAATTAAGTTTAATAATACATAACAAGGCTTAGCCAAAACTCTAGTCTGATTATACAGATTGAACACAATTCTCAGTTTGCATTTCTCAGCCATAGAGTAATTGATAAAAAGAAAACTTCTTTCTCTAGCCATTCTTTTATTAAAACATAATAATTGTATTTTTTTTTAATTTCTGTCAAAGCATGTAGGGTGACCTTGATTTTAAAAAAAAAATAATAAGGTCTATTGTACAATCTACCAAAACAACTAGTGACTTTTAAAAATAACTTTACCACGACTTTATCTTGAAATATCCAGTCAGCCATCCCCAGATAGACAAGTTGCAAAACAGATATGAATAAACACTTCTCAAATGAATTTAAAACTACTATTTAAATGAATGTTGTTCCAAATCATTAAGAGAAATACAACTCAGAACAACTCTGTGATTTTGTCTTACCCCCAGCAAATTGTCAAAGATGATAAAGAATGTAACTGTTGGAGGAGTTGTGGAAAGTCTATCACACAAATGCCTTATTGGGAGAGCTGTGAACTAATCAAGACAGTCTGGAACATGGAATTAAGGTGAAAGTAACTAAAACATCCATACCCTTTGACCCAGAGATTCCATTGATGGGCATCTATGCTAAAGTCAATGAAAAAAAGGCCCTATATGCACCAAAATATTTATAGGAGTATTTTTTTTTCATATTCTCTAAGAGCTAGAATTGATGTACATGTCCATCTATTGAGGAATGACTAAAAAAAGAGTCAGCCTTTTATAGTGGATAGAGTGATAGACATAGAATCAGGAAGACCTGGGTTCAAAAGTGCCTCAGACACTTAATGTATGACCCTGAGGAAGTCACTAAACTTTTCTGTGCCTTAGTTTCCTCAACTGTAAAATAGGGAGTTTAGTGGCCTCTTTAGTTCTATTCTAACCCCAAATCTATGATCCTGTAAGTATGTTATTATACATGAATAGTAGAATATTGCTATAGTGTAAGAAATGATGAATGTAAAGAAATGTGAGGACTCACATGAACTGATTCAGAATGAAGTAAGAACTAAGAAAATAGTGTTCACAATAACCACAATATTAATGAGAGAAAAAAACAGCAACAAAACAAAACTACATAATTCAAAAATTTAATGACCAAGCTTGATCTTGCTAAAGGGATAAAAAGATACCTTTTTGCTCCATTGCAGAGATGGACTGGTTTTGGAACACTGAATATAATGTAGGACTTTCTTTTTTCTGTCTCATGGTTGGTGAATTTTTCTCCCTCTTTTTGCTATGGGAGTTGGCTCTGTAGGAGGGGAGAGAGGAAAATTGTCTTGGGAAATGTAGGTGATATGAAAATAAAATATCAATAAAATATTTTTTTAAAAAATGCAATATAATTGGTTATCTTTGTAATCTTGTATATTTTATTTATGCATCTAAGAACATTCTGAAGAAGGGTCCTTGGGTTTCACTGGAGTGCCAGAGAGATCTATGACACAAGAAAGGTTTGGAACCTCTGCTTAATGGCAAGGGGAGTTGATGAGTGTAAAGGTATGTTTATGTGACAGAAATTTTGCTTTCTTAAGTGAAAAGTCTAACATCCTCGATTTGATGCATAAGAGTTTCAGGAAAGGGCTCAAAATCAGCTTGAGTAGTAAGTAGGATTCTAATTAGTTTGTGATGGTTAAATCTTAGACATTGTAAATGGCTTATAAGTTATTCATTAGGATCTCCTTTTCTGAAAATACAGAGTCAGGATTGAGAGAGAGGAGCTATTAAATTATCTGTTCTATTATTCATGAGAATAATGCTTATGGAATTTTGAATTAGAAAAAAAGCTTTATTTCACAAATTACAGAACAGTTCTTAACCTTTGTTTAATTTTTTTTTGTAACTGTCAGAAAATTGATTTCTTTTGTAGTTCTATATATTTTGTGCATTTAAATACATTTTGGGTTGTCCATAGGCTTCCACAGACACTCAAAGCTGTGTTAATAGTTAAGAACTGCTATTTAAGCAGCTAGATGGCTTAGTAAATTGAGTGTTGGGCCTGGATTCAGGAAGACTGACGTTTAATTCTAACCTCAGAGACTAACTGTGTGATCTTGATCAAGTCACTTAACTTCTGTTTCTTCAGTTGTAAAACGGGAATAATAATAGCACTTACCTTGCAGTGTTGTTGTGAAGATTAAATGAGATAATATTTGTAAAAGTTTTTTGCAGAGTGTTTTCCTGACATATAGTAGGTGCTATATAAGTGCTTTCTTTTTCTCCCCTCCCCTTACAGAATAATACATTTTCATTATAGATATTGGCTTTAAATAACATTTTTTCTTTATTTTTAACATTCTTTTTAAAAAACTTTGAGTTCCTAGTTCTCTGCCTCTAGCCCCTACTTCTTCCTCTAGCCCCTCCCCTTCCCATTGAGAAGGTAAGCATATATCAATTATACATGTGAAGTATTTGCATGAAATCATGCAAAGCATTTCCACGTTAGTCATGTTGCAAAACAAAAATAAACAGAAGAAAGTATGCTCCAATGTGTTCTCAGAGTTCTTCAGTTCTTGGTCTAGAAGTGGATGATATTTTCTATCATAGGTATTTTGGAATGGCTCATTTTTTTTTCTCATAAATTTGGCTCAGTTCTGTATGTATTTGAGAAATAAGGCCTTTATCAGAGAAACTTGTAAATCCTCCCACCCTAGTTTCCTGCTTTCCATCTACTTCTGGCTGCACTGGTTTTGTTTGTGTAAAACCTTATTTCACGTAATCAAAATCATCTATTTTGCTTCTTGTGATTCCTCTTATCTGATTATAAACTCTTCCCTTATGCATAGATCTGAAAGGTTAATTTTTCCATGTTCCCCTAATTTACTTATAATATCACCCTTTATGTCTAAACCTTTTATCTGTTTTGACCTTATTTTGGGGTACAGGGTGAGATGTTGGTGTATACCTAATTTCTGCCAAACTGCTTTCCAGTTTTCCCAGCAAATGGTAAGTTTTTGCCCCAAAAGTTTGGATCTTTGGGTTTATCCATTTGCTATTATGTGTTATGTACCTAATCTATTTCACCGATCCACAAATCTATTTCTTGGCCAGATTGTTGTGATTACTGCTTTGTAATGTGTTTTGAAATCTGATACTGCTAGGCCACCTTCCTTCACATTTTTTTCCTTTGATTCTTTTGATATTCTTGACCTTTTGTTCTTCCAGATGAATTTTGTTATTATTTTTTCTAGCTCTATAAAATAATTCTTTGGTAGTTGGATTGGTATGGAACTGAATAAGTAAATTAATATAGGTAGAACTATCATTTTTATTATATTGACTCAACCTACCTATGAGCAATGAATATTTCTCCAGTTGTTTAGATCTGTCTTTATTTGTGTGAGAAAAAGTTTTGTTCACAATTGTGTTTGTATTGTCCCTGACTTTGCCTTGGCAGGTAGACTCCCAAGTATTTTATATTGTCTACAGTTATTTTAAATGGAAGTTCTCTTTCTATCCCTTCCTACTGGGTTTTGTTGGTAATATATAGGTATGCTGATGATTTCTGGGGGTTCATTTTATAACCTGCTAAAATTGTTAATTGTTTCAACTAGATTTTTAGTTGATTCTCTAGGTTTTTCTAAGTAAACCATCATATCATCTGCAAAGAGTGATAATTTTGTTTCCTTGTTGCCTTTTTTTATTTCTTCGATTTCTTTTTGTCTTATTGTTATTCCTAGCACTTTAATACATCATTAAATAATAGAAGTGATAATAACAGTATATCCTTGATTCACCCCGATCTTATTGGAAAGAGTTTTAGTTTATGCCCATTATAGATCATGCTTGCTCTTGGTTTTAAATAGATATTACTTATTTTAATAAAGGTTCCATTTATTCCTGTGTTTTCTGGTGGGTTTTTTTGCTCATTTGTTTTGTTTGTTTTAAGGAATGAGTGTTGTATTTATTCAAATGCTTTAATCCTTTGATTTTTATTTGTTGTTATTCATATGGTCAATTAAGCTTATAGTTTTCCTAATATTGAAACAGCCCTATATTCTTGGCATCCATATCGCATTATTAGAATGTATGAACTTTGTGGTATATTGCTGTAATCTCTTTGCTAGTATTTTATTTAAAATTTTTGCATCAATAGGGATTAGGGAAATTGGCCTATAGTTTTCTCATTCTGTTTTTACTCTCCCTGGTTTAGGTATCAAAATCGTATTTGTGTCAAAAGAAAGTTGGTAGGACTCCTTCTGTATGTATTTTTTTCAAACAGTTGATATGGAATTGAGGTTAATTGTTCCTAAGTGTTTGGTAGTATTTACTTGTAAATCCATCTGGTTCTGGGGATTTTTTTCATAGGGAGCTCATTTATGGCTTGTTCAATTTCTTTTTCTAAGGTAGGATTATTTAAATGGATCTTTCTTGGTGATGCATTCAACCTTTTCATACATTTCCTTCCATCCTGTTTTCTTCTATCTATCCTTCTCTCCGTCTCTGTCTGTCTCTGTCTCTCTGTCTCTGTCTCTGTCTCTGTCTCCTGTACCTCCTCAAAATTCTATTTTGATTCTGACCCTGCC